TTTATTCATGCTATGGTAATATAATTGACTGTAGATAATAAAGTGCTATTAGCAATATTAATCCTAGTTGGTTTCTACATATGCCATAGATATCTTGTTTGTTGCATAACCTGATGTATTATGTGTTATATTTCTAGCAGCTCATACAGAACTGTTAATTTAAAACTTTGATCAATATAATTTTTTTTTTTTCTAGTATGTTGGAAGTGCATCTTGCTCATTGATGAACGGCAAAACGACAGAAGAAATTCAGTGGATAGAGCTTCGCCTGAGCAAATACCTTTGGTAGAGGTGCATTCGGAAAGGGGCAATTCGATACAAGAAACACCAGCAGTGACCACTCTACCTTCATCTTCAGCGCGTGGAACTTCAGTGGATATAGCCTCTCCAGAACACTTACCGTTGGTAGAGGTGCATTCGGAAAAGGGCAATTCAATACAAGAAACACCAGCAGTGACCACTCTACCTTCATCTTCAGCGCGTGGAACTTCAGTGGATATAGCTTCTCCAGAGCAATTACCTTTGGCAGAGGTGCTTTCGGGAATGGGCAATTCAATACAAGAAACACCATCAGTGACCACGCTACCTTCAACTTCAGCGCGTGGAACTTCGGTGGATAGAGCAACAACAGAGCAAAAAACTTTGGTAGAGGTGCATTCGAAAAGGGGCAATTCAATACAAGAAACACCAGCAGTGACCACTCTACATTCAACTTCAGTGCGTGGAACTTCAGTGGATGGAGCTTCTTCAGAGCATACACTTATGGAAGAGGTAAATGTGGAGGAAGGAAATTCCGGACAAGAAATACCAGTAAATGGAACTGTGCAAGAAATTGTGTTGCATGGAACCGTAATGCAAGGAACTTCATTTCAAGGTACTTTGTTGCAAGAGACTATATTGCAAGGGATGTTTTTGGAAGCAACTTTATTCCAAGTAAACTTAATACAAGGAAATATCATCCAAGGGACTTTTTTACAAGGCATTTTCACACCGGGAGCAGTGTTTCAAGGGACATTTTTTCAAGAAAACAGAATGGGAGCTTTTTTGCATGGATCGGTATTACATGGGACGTTAGTTGAAGGGCTTTCATTGCACGGAACTCTACTGCACGGAAACTTATTTCAAGGAACATTATTGGACAGAATTAGGGTACGAGGGACTGTATTGGGAAACAGTTTAAGGGAAGTAACTTTAAGACCGGACACTTCATTTCAAGGAACTTTACTACCAGGAACTTTGCTACAAGGGAACTTTGTGCAAATTTGTTTATCACATGGAACCGTTATGCAAGAAAATACGAGACAAGAACCGTTTATACCGGGAACTGACTTCCGAAGGGCTTTATTTGAAGAGTATTCAATGGAAGGTAATTCATCTGAAGAAAATTCATATGGGACAGCTTCAGAGAGTGAAGAGAACCCATAATGGCAAACTTAGAGGAAAGAATTTTATTCAAAGAAGGTGATGGCCTTAGTGAATGAACATTGTCCAGATAAAATCTAAGGGCGCTAGCCTTAGGACAAGGTACTTCGTCAGGAGATAAAGGAACTTAAGTGTGGACAGAAAGAGTTTCTCAGTGTTTTTGTAGGGTCACTTGAGAAATATTGAGTTTTTAACTTGATGGTTACAGGTACAGGTAACATTCTTTGATTTGTATTTTATTATTATTATCATAGATTTTTATTCACCTATGTCAGTTGAACTAGGGAGAGCTTACATCACTTAAATCCAGCCAAACTGTATTTTTACAGTTTAATTTAAGTTGTTTATTTGTATAGTGCTTAAGAAATACTAGGTGCTTTAACTTTATTGTCCTGAGGACCTGCGTGTATTTTAAGGTAGCCTATATCAGGTCGATTTGATAGGTAGGTTTATTAAAGTAATTAAATTATAAAGTGGATTTTTGTCACAGAAACTGAATATGTTATAAGCTATTTTTGTAGTTTTATAAAACTTTATAAAAGTAATGAAATTTCTTGGTATAAAAACACCAGCCTACAAAACCACCATCATGAGTCAATTAGTTTTAGTTTAATAATTAACTAATAATTTTTCATTGATCTCTGATATCTGATGAACTAACCATCAGTCTTAACACACACACTATTATAAAATTAATGTTTGAAATAGAAAACCTCAATGCAGTATTTGAATGTTATATTCTCAAATTATTATCCAAGGAAAATTATTTATAAGGTCATTAATTACTTTTTTGTATGGTTGGTAAATAAAGTAAGCCTAAATTGCTGGGCAATAAAACCAGTAAAAGCAGGTATTAAGTTAAGGGTAATTTTTGTTTCTCATTCCTACAATATTTGTTGCTAATATAACAAACATTAGACATAAGGTTTTTTTTTAATAACTAGACTATGTATGTATATTGATTGTACTCTAGAATATATCAATCAATAATTAATATTACTTTATTATATTTTTTACTTATTTTAGTTACCTTTAGATCCCTCTAGTTAGATCTCCAGTTGTAAACAATGTAGTTGATCAGCAGAGTGTAATATTAAGGACTGGGTAAATTAAAGCCAGATTGGAGATAAAAAAATAAAAAAATTCCTTTTTCTGAAATGGTGACTGTGGAAGTGTATGTTAGGTTGGGTTTTTTTACTTTGGGAATAACTTTAATTTAGAGAAGAGAAATTGGAATACCTTTTTATTTACTTAAATAAAAAATATTAAGCTCCAACTAATAAGGATGAGTAATTTGTCTAAACAAAGAATGTCAAATTTTAAATATGCTACTTTGTTAATATCAAATGTTAAATTTACACTTAGAATGTAACAATTCTTAGCAACACCATTAATTGTTAAGCGGTGGTTTAGCTGTAAAATTAATTGTAAGTTAAAATTGGATCCTTAGTTAAGATTCAATCCCAGTTTATCTTTTAAGCAGAACTTCCAAACTCAAACCGAGCAAGAGATAATTATAAAGTTTTCTTCAGACAAAGCGTGAAGAGTTTCTTTGAGTAATTGAAGCTGTCAATTTGAATTTGTAAATAAAACTCGTTTGGAACATTCCAATTAAATATCGCAGGGATGGTTTTCTTAAATTTTAACTTAACTTGCATCAAATTAACGATTGTTTCTATTTTAGGAACTCATTTTTTTCAGGCTTATGTTTCTTATTTAAAATTTAACTCTCATAGCCCTTGTTAATTAAACTGCATACCTACGTAATTTTACAGTAAGTAGCCTAAATGGTGATCCAATTCCAGTTTCACATTTTTGATAAAAAAAAAACACAATCCATTTTTGTGTAGACCAGTGTTTAGAGTTTTAACTAAGAGTAATTTAACAGAAATATAAAACATTTTTCCATCCATTCGGAGGTGCGACATCAGCGTGTGATATTCCTCATACAGTTCTCTCTCTTTATTAATAGTGTGTACCCACGTCTTCTTACATATTTCAACCTCGGCCAAGGCAAACAGAAACAAAGCATCTTCATCAGATGACTTGATGAGCGACAAATGATGAGAAGGTAAGTACAACTGACCACAACACTGTCACCTTACCAACTGAGTTTGAGTTCACCGCAAAACTTCTTGCTTTGTATTTGCGCCACCTAAAATCCCGCAAGAATAGTTCCCGTCACTACATTTCTAGGAGCTAGAAAATTTGAGTTGCTCCCATGTTTGGTGAGCACAGGCTTTTAGTGCTACAGGTTGATTGGTTGGCTGAGACTGTGGGGTTGTCACATGCTGCAGTCTTTGTATTAGATATTCTATGGTAATTGTTATAAAATCCACCATATCATGGACATTGTTATTTGAAAACAACTCTATATTTTAGCTAAATTAAATGGTAGTGTCTAAATCAGAAACCAGAAAATATGCTGATTTTTAGTGAGGAAACACTTACCAGAAGCGTAATGTGTTTTACGCCACACTACACTGTTTTAACAAACTTCCCAAGCAAGGAGAATTTAGTCCAGAAAACAGCTGTTTGCCACCAGCTTAATCAAATGGGGATTCATTACGTACTACTGTACTGTAATGAGATTTTACTGCACACCAACCAGCTGATTATATTTGGCAATGAGTTATTATAAATAAAAACATAACCTCTTAGAGGATATGAGTAGTGGAACGATCACACTCGTCCAGTAAACACATATTTTCAGGACTAGTAACGTAATATACTATTACGTTTATTGTTTACGTATTATTATGCCAAATTTTAGGCTAGGTAAATTTCAGCAGGAATAAGTATTTAGCAGAAATAGCTTGATAATTAAGAAACGAGCAATCTTTTTAATACAATTGTACAATTTTACCTATGAAAACCTAAAATTCCACCAAAATACTATTGATGAGCATTGGAACTTCTAAACTAGGTCGTCTTCTAGACTAGAATATCAAAGTATACATTCAATGTAAAACAAATATATTCATATTATTCATTCTGATAGCCCCTGGACTACGAATAATGACTTATATAGGCTTACCTCCGTCAGTAGTCCAAAATTGTGTCTTTTTCAACTAATGTTGTTCAAAGCTTACATGTTTCGTTGCACTGCAACATCGTCAGAGCTTTTTGTCAAAAACATCAAATGATTTATACATGGGCCCAGTCTACCTACAACCGCTGCCGTGCCGTGTCGATAGCGCTATCGTGTTATTACGTGTTTAAATGTTTCAAGTTCCGTGTTTTGTTTTATGTATAAATCATTTGATGTTTTTGACAAAAAGCTCTGACGATGTTGCAGTGCAACGAAACATGTAAGCTTTGAACAACATTAGTTGAAAAAGACACAATTTTGGACTACTGACGGAGGTAAGCCTATATAAGACAAATATATTACTTATTGCTTATAAATCCTGTAGTTTACTATATCCTTTTTTTATATTTTATTTTACAGCATAATCTATTTCTATAAATAAAATACGCTTGTTTTATATTTCAAAAGTTTGGTCTGAAAAATAAAACGCTCCAGATCAAGTATAGTTTTTAATTTATTCACGACATTTACAAATACTGTACAAAATTGCTTAGCTTATTACAAAAACTATAATAACTCTACATAAAATCTCTTTTCTACCTCCTGAGAACATATAAAAAACATATTTCTTATGGAAATATTGGTAATCTTGATAATATGACAGTTTCATTTTCAAAAGTTAAACAGGACAATCCCCTAAAAATTAACTCTTTTAATAACTGCCAAAAAAATTAAATTAAAAGGATTGTTACAGAACAGAGAGTTATTGTTAGGCCATTCCTTAGATATTCCAACATATCATCAATGAAAAAAACCCTATAAGAAGCTAAATGCTTATAGAGAATAGACAGACTCGGAAGCCGCACTACTCTAACTCTCTCTCTCTCTCTAAGCCGATTCATTGTCTCACTCAGTCAGCTGACTTAGCAGCGCGGTCGTGATAGTAGCGCCTTCGCTACCTTGCGGCTGCCATGGGAACTATCCGAAATTCAAATATTCCCAAACTAAATTTTTAACATAGGCATTGCGCTTCTTATAGAGGTTTGTATTCATTGATATCAGTGATCACCCACTATCAACTATTGAGATCTTGTTGTGTTTAGCAGGGCCTTTGTAATAGCATTTTAAGTTGATTGTTTACATTTTTGCTAAAATGTATAAACATAAACCATACATAAGTTTAATTATAAGTCCAATGATAACAGCGTTACACCTTAAAGGCCCTTACACATCAAAGGTTACTGCCTATAAGTCAAGACAAGCTTGTTTGCAATGGGCAATAAGAAAATTGTTTCACGTTGTATTTAGCAATTGTTCACGGATTCTTATGAACCGAATAATTGAGATTCAATCGAGGTTTTGTGTTTCAGTTTTTTGCTAGGACAGAAAAATTTGTGATCGTAAAATCTGTCCTAAACTTTGAGTTTCAAATATTGAATCCACGTTTACAAAATACATATAAGGTAGCCTACTATAAGCATCTATTATCACTATTATTTAATTTATTTTAAATCACTTATGGACTGAAAAAATCCACTTTCAAAACTGTTCCAAAATTTGGGACAGTTTACTGCTAACTCAGCAAAATTAGTGATTATCTCCAGCCATCATGAAAATGTCCAAGATCGTCTTCTGCAGTCATATCAATAACTGTATTGATTTCCTGTGATAGAGGCAACATCTTTAATTATTGCAACATCCATGAAGATTTACCGATCGCTGCCATGTTTGTGATTGTTTCCAACAATTGTTGTGACTTCCACAAGCCTAGCAACGTTGTGAACTCATGATCATCATCCTCAATCATCATTTTCTTACTTGACACAATTACACAAAATTATTGGCATATTATATTGGCGATCATTTAAGATATAACATTTTTCAGGCCATAAAAAATAGGAGCAAAATTCACAGATTTTTCCTGGTCATCCAAATTGAAGTACAATTTCCAGGTTAGCTGGACACTCTGTTACAAGTCAAAAGAACGAGAGGAATAATGCTTATGAAGTAAGGGCCTTGCAGTAAATGGCCAAAATTTTAACAAATGTTGACTTTCTAACCTAAGTGGAGTTGTCTCTTCTTCTTTTTGGAGTGAAGGTAGATTTTGCATCTTCAAGAGAGTTTCTCTTCCTTTTCGGTGCCTCACTTCGGGCCCGAGTGTGCAGCTTGTCTACATTGACTGGGTCCTTGCGCCACGGAACTCCTTCGCCCATTGCTTCCACCATCAGCTGTAGAGGGAAAAATGCTATTATTAGCATCATAAAAATAAGAATCAGTCACTGAGAGGGAATAAAAAAAAAAAATTTAAACTGTAATCTAAATCTAAACCAATTTTTATTTAACACTTGTAAAATAGTAAAAATTACAATTAAAACAGTAATAAAACAACTACAGTATTGAATATCCATAAAATAATACATCTTAATAGTATCCAATCTTTACCAGTTATTTCCATTTTTCACTATGGAACAACACCAAGTATGCAAAAGACAAATTGAGCAAAAGCTTAGTAGGCAGCAAAAAAATGGGTATTTATCCAGTTGTTTACCCAAAGCTATTGGCAAATGGTCACAGTTTTTTGACAATTTGTACTAGGTGTGATGGGTCTGTAGTATAAATAGACTAAATTAAATTTACAACTACAACAACTCCTACAACTGTTTCTTTTGGCCTTCTGAGCCATTCTAATGTCTAAATGAATCTAGTTGTTCTGCTTCAAACTGAACCTTTCTGCAGCTCAAGAAATAACAAATACAGAAGTAGGGAAATTAGATTAGTGAACTTAGTTCAGAGGTCCCACAGAGCATACTCAATGTTCGAATCATGTCACATTCTACTTCTACAAGATGTTAGATGGATTCATCAAACTGTAAGAGGGCAGACAGCGTTACTGTCACCAAGCCTGAAACACTTGAAAATGTTCTCTGAAATGACCCTGTTCAGTTAAAAGTGCAACAGCCAGCCTTATACTTTTTTTTTAGAGTGAGCACTTTAATTTTTTTTCATAGTTTTTCAGGGTAGGCTATGCTTCTTTGATGAAAAAAGATCAGTGTACATACTGTAGTAATTATTTCAATTATGAAGAGTCGATAAGGTTGAAAGTTATTGACTGCAGCCACAATGTCAGAGGAATCCTGCCTAAGTACAGAAGTACTCCAACTACCAAAAATTCATTCACCCAGATAGCCAATTATTTGGATAACCACTAGGAGACAAAAATAAATAATAAACTCTTCCAAAAATCTAGTTCATTGCAGTGTTTTGCAGGATTTTTTAGGAATCCATTTCATATTTCAATGTGTGTAGAATATGTTCATAACGCAGCGACTATAATTGATGCCTAGTGCCACTGCAATGTATATTTTTTCTTAAAAAATCCAATTATAAGCTAATTTTTTATTATCTGGACGCGGTCCTAATGAGTAATGATGCCGATAACTGGAATTCAACTGATTTTTAAATCAATGTAGATTAGTGGACAAGATACCTCAATGTGTTGCAAACACTCGTTCTGCATGATGCTGGCCATCTCATACACGAGGGACTCGCTGTTGTTGTACATGATGGCGTTTTGGAACATCAGCAGCAAGTCTCGTTGGAACTCCACAGTAGTGCGCAAGTCTCCAACCTCTATTCTCTTCTTGATAGTGAACAAGTCTACCGGCCTACACACAAAAATATGTGTTAAATCGTGAAGGGTTGGTATTTCCAAGTTAGAATGGGAAATAAGGGTTTTCTTTCAATGTCCTAACACAAGGCAATCATATTTTTTGTAACAAAATCTAACAAACTAAACTGTCAAGGTTTAACTTTTGTGGTTGAATTCAAGGCGCTTGTTCTATAATGACAGATTATTCTACAGGCCAAAAAGCACATGTTAGCTTATTTTAACCATTACATTTTCATCCAGATACAAGGAATAGGGCTATGGGGCTGTGTATGGAAATATTTAACATATCAGTTTGAACATCAGGTTAATAGCTTTTCATATGAACAAAACATTATTGTAACATTGTATGGAACAGAACACAACATAAATTTAGCATTAAGGAAATCATTCATAAGGTGGTACAATGTTTAAAAACTATGTTATAATCTTATATTTGGCACCATCAAAAAGGTCATTGATACAATGAGGGCACGGAACCGGTTGTCTAACTCTCTACTTGAAATTCCGTCCCATAGACTAAGTAAATGTGCCAGTAACCATTCAATCATGAGCTTAAAGTTATTCAATGTATTGCACTCTGAGTCAAGAGCGTTGCCTGAGTTGGTTTTTAAAGATAGGCTATACAACTGGCTTGTTGAACAACCTTTTTATGTGATTAAAGAGTTTTTGATGTAAAAGTTGTTAAGTTTTGATGTTTAGTTTATCTAGTAGCCTATATTCTCCACCCAGCTTACAGCCTTCTTTTTACTTTTAAATTTTTACCTGTTATTGTCTGTGATATTAGCTTACTAATCTAGTCTGACTGGGTTACTGTGTAACCCTATTTTACCATAATATATGACTATGTCTATTGCAAGATTGTTTTGCTTAAGCCCACATAGCACAGAATATTTATTTGATATCAAATAAACGTTCAATATATCAAACTATGTCAAATCAAAAATTTGATATTTATTTGATATTAATTTAATGTTCAAAATGTCAAAGTCAAACAATGTCAAACTTTGAATATTTATTGTATCTTCAAAATATCAAAGTCAAATAACATCAAATTTAGAATATTATCTGAATATTCTAAATGTTAAAACTTTGATTTTCTCTTTAAAAATATCCAAATATACTAAAGTTTTAAAAATTGTTAGATTTAACTTTTCAAATTTTTTATAGTAAAGAATAATTAGTCCCCAGCCTACAGTTTGTAACATGGAGGTTGGAGGTCAATTATCTCAAAATAATTAATAATAGGAAGGAACACTGAACACTGTAATTTTTAATTAATTGATGATGGATTTTGACTTTTCGCGGGGGGCGGCGGGGAGTTGTTGCAACATCTGATATTTTTCTGAATGTCTTACTACACATTTCAAGAAGATTGAATAGGAAACACAGCTTTTTTAAAAGTTTTGTTTATTAATAAAAAATTCAAACTCTTAAAGATTGGCCTTATAATTTTATTTTTACTAGTAAATTAAACCAAACGTAAATTTAATTTTTTTAAGTGTAATATAACTCTAAAAATATGTTAAGTATCTTGTTTGAGCTTGACTTGGCCAATTCATACGAAAGGTTCAGTTCAGAGAGGAAGACTGACTGAAGACCAAACACCAACTCACCAACAATTCTAACCTAACTCGGCAAACAAAACATTACAAATTACAAAATCCGTCGCGCGACCAGTGGTGGCCAGTTTACTCACTGTGTTGATTTATTTATTAACCAACAAATTGCCCATTTTGAGGGAAAGTACACATTTATGTAAAATGTACCTATGCCAACTAACTTGTTGAGTAGGCTACAAAAGTAGTGAAAATAAACTATGGAAGGAACAAGACAATCAAGAAGAACAAGACATAACCTCAAATAAGTTAATTTAAGTGTTTTGATCTTTTGTTTAGTGTGTGTCACTGTTAGGAGTTGTTTGTGACTGGGTATTGGGCATTGGCATAACATACACCGAACATCTTTTCACGTTTTGATCCTTGGAGCATGTAAGTATAAAAGTATACGTAGTAACATAGACATATTTTAGGCCTTGGCCTTACCTAGACCTAAGTTACTGTCCAAATTAAATTGGCCAACTTATCATTCCTAATGCCTTAAGTATAAATAAATAAATCTGAAACCTCAAAATAGGCAATCTGTTTTAGAGGAAGTATTTTTCTGCATACAAATTAGGCCTAGGCTTAAGCTACTAAGTTAGGCGGCTTGCTTAGTTCTTACTGAACCAGTAGTTTATTTAGCTTAGGGCAACTTTCGGATTAAAATAGTGTTCAATATATAGGCTAGAGGTAGGACTAACTTACTGGTTTACAAGGCAAATGGAATACCATACTGTGTTGTAATACCTTGTTAATTTTGAAATATTACTAAGTTATGTGGGTTATATTTTTACGTCGGTCACTAACTTAAGTTTAGGTAAATTTACCATCAAGAATAAGTTAACTTAATTTAGGCTAGCCTAGGCCTAACTTATTCTACCTCAACCAGGTTACAATTACCGGTAGGCCTATTATAAAAGAAATAGCCTCAGAGCCTATTTGAAATCCCTTTTCATTTTAAACTGAATTGGGGTACACTTCCGTATCTGTTGTCAAAAACAACTAAATGAATATATAACGATCGATATTTTCATTCGGTTGTTTTTGACAACAGATACGAAAGTCTACCCCTGTATTGTCTCTTAGTCTTTTGTATTTTTAGTTGTTGGCTGCTTCCTTTACCAACCAAAGATTAGGCGTAACTAATTTTGATACATATTTAGGCCAGAGAAAGGTATGCATGAATTTAACTAAAAGTAGTTTTCTCCCCATTGTTTCAGTTGATAACTCTGCAGCTTTGGTGGAAGTTATTATTTGGTAGCAGTGAATAATTTACCAACTCTCCCGAGTGACAAAGTGGCTGTCTAGCAGCCTGTAGCCTAGGCTGGGAAGGAGGGATAAATTTTTCTTTTGCAATCCGCATCTGAAGCCAGCTATCTTGCGTAAGTTTTTTTTTTTGTTTATTTACAATCGGGTCATTCCATGCCCATTCATCCAGGTCATGTCACCCATGATCTCAGATTTGGCTGAAATTTTTTTTATTTGTTCATTTGACCATTTTAATAAGATATACCAAGTTTTATAAAATTATCTTGAATAGTTTTTGAGTTATGAATTTTTGAAATTTTGCAAAATACGCTTATAACAGCGCTTCCGAGGCGAAAAGGTTCGGTGACGTTCTTATATAAAAAAATCCATAACTTCTACAATATTTAACATAAAGCAATAGTTTTTTTCACCAAAATGTTCAGAGAAATCAGAGGATTATAGAAAAAATACATTTGGTTGGTTATTTCTTCACATTTATATGTAATGCATTGCTAAATTTAAATTTTGAGTTATTTTTTAATTTACAAACAAAAAATCTTTAAAAGCGATTATTGACCAAAGGCATAGCAGTAACCAAAGCAATTTTTTTTTTAAATTAACCCTAAAGATATAAACTAAAGTAATCTGGAATAAAATTAATGGTTTTTTACCAGCTAATATTTTTTTTTATTCATATAAGTTACAATATGGGTTATGGCGAAGAAATCCTATGAAATCGATAACTTGACTTTGCTATCCAAGTTTAAAACCTCTAATATTCATCCAATTGCAAACAACATCTTTTAATTAAATTACAATGACTTGTCAATAGTCAATACTTAAAATGTATGCACTAACCCTTAGATATTAAATGTGAAAACATGTGTTTTAACTGTAACCGGTACCGTATACTAGGCTGTACATAAAATTAAAGCTGCAGTAAATGATAGGCTATACCAATTATGTACTTACAAAGAAATGTATTTATTATTTATACAAGGGCTTATTTGATTAGAACATTTTTGTGATAATCATAAAGGTCTTTAACAGTAGAGGAGTTACCTTAGTTTTGGATATGGGTGCGTGTGAGCCTCAACATTTTCTTACAATGCAAGTCAGCAGCTTGAACTTCCTTTTCAGGAAAATAATACATCCTCCCTGAGCCTTTAAAGTTGTAGGTGGATTGACACTTGAAATTATGTTGCATAGGCCAGTAAAACAATTTTGCTGGTCCGTATGTAGAAATTTAACTTTAATATCACACTCAATGTCTTTTTTTTCTCATGACTAATCCGAAACACCAATTGTCATCATAAATGCAAAATGTAGTCAACCAAGCTATTGTCCTGTTAGATTTCAGCAAAAACAATTCCTTTGTAATCTTACTAATATAAATGTGAATGTTTGTGTCTTTGTTTGTTTGTTTATGTGTTTGAAGTTCAATCACGCATAAACCACTGGACGGATTGGGCTGAAATTTGGCATGATGATAGCTTACATTCCCGATTAACTATAGGCATATTCTTCGCTCAACCAAACTGGAGCGGAGCCCGAAAGGATTTTTGAGGTAAGAATATGCCTATATGTTAATCGGGAATGTAAGCTATCATCATGCCAAATTTCAGCCCAATCCGTCCAGTGGTTTATGCGTGATTGAACTTCAAACACACAAACAAAGACACAAACTTTCACATTTATATTAGTAAGATTACATAGGAATTGTTTTTGCTGAAATCTAACAGGACAATAGCTTGGTTGACTACATTGTGCATTTATGATGACAATTGGTGTTTCGGATTAGTCATGAGAAAAAAAAAGACATTGAGTATATTAACGTTAAATTTCTACATCCCCACGGACCAGCAAAATCATTTTACTGGCCTATGCAACATAATTTCAAGTGTCAATCCACCTACAACTAAAGGCTCAAGGAGGATGTATTATTTTCCTGAAAAGGAAGTTCAAGCTGCTGACTTGCATTGTAAGAAAATGTTGAGGCTCACACGCACCCATATCCAAAACTAAGGTAACTCCTCTACTGTTAAAGGCCTTTATGATTATCACAAAAATGTTCTAATCCAATAAGCCCTTGTATAAATAATAAATACATTTCTTTGTAAGTACAATTGGTATAGCCCATCATTTACTGCAGCTTTAATTTTATGTACAGCCTAGTATACGGTACCGGTAACAGTTAAAAACACATGTTTTCACAATTAATATCTAAGGGTTAGTGCATACATTTTAAGTATTGACTATTGACAAGTCATTGTAATTTAATTAAAATATGTTGTTTGCAATTGGATGAATATTATAGGTTTTAAACTTGGATAGCAAAGTCAAGTTATCGATTTCATAGGATTTCTTCGCCATAACCCATATTGTAACTTATATGAATAAAAAAAATATTAGCTGGTAAAAAACCATTAATTTTATTCCAGATTACTTTAGTTTATATCTTTAGGGTTAATTAAAAAAAAAAAATGCTTTGGTTACTGCTATGCCTTTGGTCAATAATCGCTTTTAAAGATTTTTTGTTTGTAAATTAAAAAATAACTCAAAATTTAAATTTAGCAATGCATTACATATAAATGTGAAGAAACGACTAGCCAAATGTATTTTTTCTATAATCCTCTGATTTTTCTGAACATTTTGGTGAAAAAACTATTGCTTTATGTTAAATATTGTAGAAGTTATGGATTTTTTTATATAAGAACGTCACCGAACCTTTTCGCCTCGGAAGCGCCGTTATAAGTGTATTTAGCAAAATTTCAAAAATTCATAACTCAAAAACTATTTAAGATAATTTTTTAAAACTTGGTGTATCTTATTAAAATGGTCAAATGAACAAATAAAAAAAAATTCAGCCAAATCTGAGGTCATGGGTGACATTTTATTTTTTTATTGGATGATTTGAAATGGAATGACCCAATCAGACATTAATAATAGGTAGACTTACATATATTTCAATTAGGTTTTCTCAAAGTTAAAATAAGTTATACCTACAGTAGGTAGCCTATTACAAAGTTTCAATCTTAGGTGTTTTTATTTCAATTTTTCTGTTTGATTCGCCATAAAATTTCTTGCTGTGACCTTGTATTTTGTGATGTTGGGGATTTTTAAGTATTTCTTTTTTGCCATAACGGATACAGATCCGCAGAGAACCTGCGATACATTATCGGATGAATAACATTATATATCAATAATTATCCGATTCAGTACATCGTTCCCTATGTTTTTTCATTATGTAAACATCAATTTGAGTTATGATTTGCAGATTTGGTGATCTGGTTTTGCAATATTAATATCGAATCGGATATATACCGTCCGATAATATATCGCAGGTTCTCTTAGGAACTGTAGGTAAGTTAGGCCCTACTGCCAAAACACAACCTAATTCATGATAGGTACCTTTTGGATATTAACGTAGCCTAAGGTTCATCACACAGTTAAGAGAGCTTCTCTTTTTTGTGACCCACTTATATAGGAAGTCTTTGATTTACACTATATAAATATTCCGGCAGTGCTAACTTATGTAAAAGAAAACTGTACCGGTATTAGGCTAGTTGAATTTTTTTAAACGCACACATAGGCCTATACACACACACAACTACATCCGACCGTTGCACTCATTTCAGTCAGTGCTCACCTCAATATTTGTCCGTTTAAGTGACTGAGGATTACTTTTACCACTACCTAGGTCAAAATTTTCAATTTTCAGATTTAGATTTACCTAGCTTTAATAAGGCTACTCAAAAGAAGCAGACCATCAAAATATAAAATTGATTTCACTAACAATTTAATATGTGTACCTAGTTGTAGGCTATCCTGGGTGTTTTATCAGGAAAATGAAAATATACAAATTCTAGTGCTAATACTAATCTCTTATTATACAGAGGCAGTGCCGGTACGCAAGAACACTAGGAGATCGTGGTGTAATGGAAATATATGTTGTTGCTACTATAATCAAGAATTGGCTTCGCCCAGCAAAGTTTAGGATTGATGCAAGGTAAATTTATTGTGTTATTTATAATTTAGGTTAAAGAAAAGATTGCTTATCTAATTACCTAGTATAGAACTTAAATTTTATTATAATTAACAGAGTAGGCTTACATCTAACTACTATGATGTTTTCTTTTCCAATTGTGAATTTTCAGTGACAGGCTATGCAAATGAGCAAAACTTAATTTGCGGTTTTATCCATCTCTTTTTTCTTTATTGTCAAGAACTCAATGCCTTATCGACAAATTTAATTATAAAGTACAGATATAGTAAAAAATAGGTCTTAAAAGTGTCTAACCAAGGGGTCTCCAACCTACAGCCTGCGGGCTACATCCGGCCCTCGTGCAGTTTTATTCCAGCCAGCAGAAAGCCAGCGTACGTTTTTGAAAATTAATATTTTTTATAGCAAACACCAATGATATTCTCCCACAATGGCGTAAACACGTGTGGTCAGGTGGTCTCAGCTATACCGTGATCATCTCCCGTGATCTCGCCAAGACTCATGAGCATATTATACTGCAGTCTCGACAGTGCCGTGATTGTCTTTTGCAATCCCAGCAACACCCGTCATTGTTGTCCCTGTGTCCAAGTTGGCAGGCTAACGTATTAAAATAGGAACATAGTAAATGTCTCTCACTTGCTAATTTTTTCTCAGTAGGCCTAGGGAATATTAGCAGTAGTCAAGTAGCAGCAGATTAATTTAAAAATATATATTTTAAATTGATCCTAATTGGCAGAACTACAAATTGAAATCTTAAACTAGCTAACATTTTAAGTGTCAAATTATATAGCCTATTCTCACAAAAAAATCATTGCACTTTTTGTCAAAGATTTAGCTTAGAATGCGATTACTTCTTAACTGCACATCTTTCGTTAGAATTAGAGGCATTTATAATTTTATTTTATTAACAGAACTATATTTTAGATTATTAAAAAATGGAAACTGATGTAGTTTACTTTTTTATGGATAGATTTTGATAAAATTTGGCAAACTTATTTACTTTATCCTATACTATTGACGTATGCTCAAAAAAAACTTTTTACCTTCTCCATAGCAGCAAACCTAAGCTCTTGTTAAATCTAATCTTCATTCGATTTTTATCTTGTATATTTTTATATTATCAGCAAGTTAGGTTAGCTTATGACAGTTTAATTTTACAATAGAATGCCCTCATTTTGTCCGTAGTAAACCTTAATTCGATTTTTTCACTATCAGCAAGTTTGGTTAATTAGGTTAGGTTAGGACAGTTTAATTTTATAATAGAATGCTCTCATTTTGTCCGTATCACAAAAAGCCTTTACCTTGTGACAAACGACAACTACAATCGCATCGATTGTTGTGATTCGATAGAGTAACAAACAATTAACGTTAGTCACTAAATCGGTGGCGTTTTTAGACGAAAAGTGCTCACCGAGGAAAAAAAGGTTGGAGACCCCTTGTCTAACATATTATATTTTATCTATAGCTGTCTTAGAAAATAACTCTGTTGAACCTCTTTTACAGGAACAAGAGAAAAATCAAGAAGGCAATTTGGGAGATGAAGAAGACCAGAATTTATTTTTTTTGTAAATTGTACATATCTTTTTATATTTGTGTTTAAATAATTTTTAATTAAACTTATTTGATCATACAAACAACATTTTTTCTATAAAATGTTTTCCTTGAATGCAATTTTGTTTTAAACCAATTTGTTTTGTGATATTTTTATTAATTGGATTATTGAAAATTTACTCCTCTTGTCAAAATAGCATATTTTTAAATACACTTTGAATCCAACCAAATTAACATTTAAGGATATTTTTGATGATAGAGATGAAAGAATGGTCAATTTAAAATGTTTTGTCAAATAAGAAATATATATAACTTATATATATATATATATTTACATTTTTGGGTAACCCAAGAACTCTAACAAACTAGCCTACCTATAACTTCAAAATAATAAGTGAAATCAAGGTAAGAACAGTGGACTGAACTGCTATTGTTTTAATCACCATGAAATTTTAAATGCAACCTCATTCTTCTAAACATATTTTACCAATACATAAGACATTTATTTTATATTCAATTTAATATTTATTTAATGTCAAATTAAGCGAGGTTGAACCTAAATTGACCATTTATTTGATATAAAATGAATGTTCGCGAATATCAATTTAATATTCGAATGTCAAAAATGTTATATCAATATTTATCACTATCATATTTAAAATGTGAATGTAAATTCAATCATATTCTCTTTATCATATTTTACCAAAAAATTTATGAATGTCAAATTTTACATTTATTAGATATTCAAATTGAATATTCATTTGACGTAAAATTGAGTGACGTTTGAACCTAAATTGAACGTTTATTTGATATCAAATGAATGTTCGCGAATATCAATTTGATATTCAAATATCAAAAATTTGATAGCTATTTGATATCAAATAAATATTCGGTGCTATGTGGGAGGACAATAAAGGATTTCTGATTTATTTAATATGCAGCTGGTACCTGTGAACCACAGTATCGTAGGCAGGTGCCTGTTCATTGGTGATAGGCTTCAGGAACATGGAGGCGTACTTGTGAGTTGCCAGCCGGTTGTATACCAACATGATGGACTTCTTCCAAGCGCGATTATCTTTGCTGTCCTCCCTGTAAGATGGGGGTGCTAGATTAGATTGGGTAGTTTCGTTTCACACTTACAATTTTATTACTCAGCAATATAAATTTGCTTAGGCCTACACTGTAAAAGTTTTACAAGAATAAAAACAAATTACATAGGCTAATGTTAAACATACATTAAGCAAGGACTAAGTTGCCACAACAAACTTCAACACTAATTGGAATTTGATGCATCGAGTGAAACTAGGCTTAAAAAATACATAGACTTAGAAGGTAGAATTGTTGCTTTAATAAAAAAGGTCCAGCTATTCATGACATGGTTCATAATTAATTAATTGTAATACACAGGCTTATGAGTCGGCAGGAGTCAATAATTTGCATTGTTGTTGACCGTAAGCCGGACTAAATAGTGGTTGTCCTAGCACCAAACAGCATAACATGCGTTCACGTTGAATCATATTAATCATGCACCGTAAGCTTGATTACCAAGCAGAAAATTGTATGTAATTCTTAAATATATTTTCCATGTGAATTGCTTTCTGGATTTTAAAAACTTTTGTTTTAGAGGTTGAAAAATATTACAGTTTAAGTCAATATATTTATGTAGTTTGGCAAAATAATAACAAATAAAATTAAAAAGTAGATAGCAAATCACATCTGCAGTTTCAATAGCTTTAAAATTAGATATTTTGCAACTTTTTATCTTAATAAACAATGCCGTAATATGCTTCAACCATTAACATTGTCGTTATGGGCGGAAAATCCAAGATGGCCAGCGGTCCTGCCGACTCTTAACAAGTATAGGCCTATTTGATAAAAACTCAAGGAACAGATTTCATTTAAGTATTTTTGATGTATAATAAACTGCTTTTACAGATTTTTTGCAGCAACAGTGATACGTACTCTAGTTTTCCAGGGCATTTATGACTAAGTAGCCTACATATTTCTGAACACGTTGGCTAATCCTGAACTTATAATTTTACTGAAGTAGAATCTTTAGCTTATTACCGTACCACATCCATATATTATAAAACTTTAAAACCCAAGTGCTAGTCCACTGTAAAATTGTTACAGTGTATGATCAACTTGTATTATTCACAATAACGTTACCCGCATTCATTTCCATTTTATCTATAGGCTGGAAACTGTTTTTTCCCATGTTAATTGAACATTCTGGAACCGGGTAGAGCATTACTAGGCTAAAAAAATTAAAAACTGTTTCCTTTGCAAAACGGAACAGTTAGATACAATGAGTATACTACATACAGCAACTGAGGAGCAGGGCTGCTAGGTTTAGAATCAGAACACACACTTCCACTGATGAGGCGCTTCTTACTGGGTCTCTTGCCTGCGTCTTCCTCCTCCACACAAGGAGAGGCAGGCTTGGACTCCTGCACAAGACAGGATACAATGAGAAAATAACACAGTGAAATATCAAGTCTAACTAGTAGGGACTTACTGTAAACAGAATGGGTAAAGACAAAACAAAATTGCTTAAACATTACTGTAGGCCTACTATTTTTGTTCAGAATTAAGTATAACTTTTAGGTAATTTAGTAGTGTAATTAATTGCTTGGTACTAACTAATTGACTTTCGACTGTAAAATTGTTAGTTTTGAATTGACGCTTTGTTAATTCTCCAATGTTTTTGAAATGTGCTAATGGTGTTTTGTTTGTGTTAACACAAGTAAATATATCGCTGACCTTGTTTTCATTGATTCTAGATGCAGCAATTTTTTGCAAACAATTTGATTGCCATATTTTGTGTATCAAATCTCAAATTCAAATTTTGTTCATGAACTGTTAAATATTGGTATCAGTATTGACACTTAGGGATTGATTCATAGTAGGTTTACCAATGTCCAAGAACCAGTGATATCAACAATCTACCAATTCCTAATTGTAATCATAGTTCATTTCAGTAGGCTTATGATATCAGTTTGCAGACTTTGCTTACGTCTATTTGAAAAAGGAGTTTGCAAATTAAACAAGGAATATATTTTTAACCTTCTTACCAACTTACAAAACTTCTTTACTGAACCGAAGTCTGTATTTTATTCTCTGTATATTTCCCAATCACACAGATAGCCAAAATCAAGGAAAATGAAGTATCAATTCAGATCAGTTGGAACCAAAAATCAACTACCTAACTAGTATTTGAAATCAACCCCTAGATCTAAATAATTAATATGTGTTTGATAAAGCCCACATTATTCTATCATAGAATGTGTTCTAGAGTATAATCTAACCTAACATTTATCTTTTTTGTTTCTAGCCAAGTTTTAGGGTACTTACAATAATTTTTGCAGTCATTTGGTAGGATGTGGAAGGGCTGTCTTTTGAATGTTTATCTTCTTCAGTTTTCACTTCAACCTCACTTTCATATTTACTTGAAAATAACAAAACATTTTCAGTATAAAAGATATAAATTTACAACTTACACTAAAGCAGACTACAGGGAAACAATTTGTTGGTATTTGAATCAGTGTTGCTTATTTCTGTCGAATTACGATAGCTGTAACAAAAATCTTCTAAAATTTCTATCAGGTTGTTTTCATGCGGTCTACTTAGGTTATTTTTATATTATTTTTGTATCAGTCAGTGTAATGTTTTCATTAAAATAATTCATTATTATTATGCTACTACTAACACAAACTTGATGCAGTTTAAAACCTTGCTCCAGTTAATATATGCAAGAAAAGTGTAAACCCTTTAACTTGGGCTATGTAGGAAAAGTGTAAACCCTTTAACTTAGGTGAAAGTAGTGACAATTTCTACTTCAACCAAGTGAAACAGTTTTAGAAGCTGGATTTGTCAACAGATTGACAGCTCGAACAGGCCGTTTGATTCCAGGAGCCTCTATAGAAAGGGTTTGTTTCAACAAGCACCTCCGTCTTTAGAGGATCCTGGAATTTAACAAGACCCTCCGTCTTGTTAAACTTACCAAGCCTCACAGCCTGTTGTCATTACAGACATAAGCCCCGTTCACACGGGGCGAGTTTAAAAGCTACACACCGGCTTTTTTACACGCAGCTAGTAAAATAGCTCAGTGTGAACGACGAACTCGCTCAAAAGCTGCTTGTAAAAAGCTCTGGAAAAAGTTGACGCTGCCGCTACTTTACACGCCAACTCGCCAGCTTTTGAGCGAGTAGGCGTGTAAAGTAGTCCAGTGTGAACACAGTTGCTTGTGCTTGTGCGCATGTTATTCAAAGATGTCGGAGGATTTGGTTCAAGCTAGCTACTGAGCGTGTGGAAAAAGCATCGTGTGAACGACTACAAGCGCACTCGCCAACGTCTTTCTACACCTCTGCGAGTTGGCAAGTGGACAAGCTCCGTGTGAACGAATACTAGCACACTCGCCGGCTTCTAACACGCTGGCGAGTAGCTTGTAAACTCGCCCGGTGTGAACGAGGCTATAGCTGGTGAAATGGCTAAGCTGATAAGACGGTGGCTTAAAAGTTGCAGCTTCATAATGGTCATTTTTATACAAAACTACTGATGTTTACCTGGTGACAGGTGTAGAAATGGCATTACACTCTTCCAAGACCGGAGTGCTGCTGGTACTGGAGATGGTGGATTCTTTCACATCCGTCACCTCCATCCTGTGACTGCTGCTGACTGAAAACAAAACTAAAGATTTAAAATCTATACTAGGTCAAGTCCAGCATGCGATTCTCAGGTCCTCACAAGAATACTAATGGTTTAAACAGTAAAACAACTGGGGTAGGATTGTGTAAACAGGAAAACATTTGTTGAGCAATACTTAAGGAAATAAAAGATATAATTCACGTACAATTCCTTATAGGGGAAGATGTTGTTTATGTCCTAAAGCCAGATTTAAGCTACTAACACACAAAACCAAATGGCTGTCGGCTAAAATCATCCCCAAAAAGTGCTCCCCAAGGAAATGTTAAACTTAATGCACTTTTGAAAGAGCCAGATCTACTCTGGAAGAAAACACCAATTTTAAATTCTTAATTCAGATATCTAAGAACTTTTTTTTTAATTGGACCTAACGACCTAACCAGATAATCATCTGCTATGAAAAGTAGGCTTCCACAACACAATACCAGGAAAATCAGTAACATTTTTGTCTAAATAAATGAATAAAAGAATTAACAAATTAATGAATGAATAAGGCTAGATAACCATAGTACGAATTTTACCTGGTATGTTCATATTTCTTAATGATTCTTGCAAACGCCTAAAGAAATAAATCAATAAAAATCTCCACAAAAACCAAGTGATAATCAATCAAACAAAACAGGCAAAATTACAATTTAATATTATTTACATGGCAAACAACCAAACACAGTGTGTAGCACCTAGAGGACATTATGTAACTCGCACGTGGACGTTGTGCAACACAAAACAGCTGAGCTAGCTGTCTCCCTACTCTGAATCACCAGTCCTGAATCAGAATATTACAAGGAACTGGCAGCTTTTGTGTAGTAGAAGCTGACAAGCTAGTTCATGCTAGCTGAACTATACAAGATTGTATAGCACTTACAACTTCTGACAGTAAAACAAATGTAAATAAATTTAAGTTTTGACATACTGAGATGATTTTTGGTAAAATAAATTAGATGTCCATATTGGCCTAACGTGATCAATGAAACCTGAACTCTACAAACTCTGGAAAGGAAATTTATAGAACAGCCTCAATTTAGAGAGATATTACTTAAAAGTTCATAAAGACCGCCATTTTGAATTTTTTTACGTTATAGATTAATTGCCATTACTTTTTTATTTACTAACCAATTCTCACATATCAAAGTGTTATTACACTTGACCATGAATTTTATTTTTTAAATCTGCTACTGTGTATAATTTTTATTTAGAGACTCGCTATCAATTTTAGGACATTTTAAAAGACTGCCATTTCAAAGTTTATAAAGTTAGATAAAAATATTCGTGGAGACATTTAATTACAAAGACTCTACCGTGAATATCAAGTATCATACGAATATCACCAACATGCTTTGAATCTTTTATGACAGATTATGGATAAGTTAGGCCAGAATGTAAAAAAATTACTGGAAATCCTTAACTTATTTAGGTATATTTAGGGGGTAATTGGGCCCTGTAGTGATGTGTCAAAACCGAATCTCAAGTCTCAAAACAATCAAAAATTAAGGAAAAGTTTCGGTTTCGAGATTCGATTACCAAGTTTCGAGATTCAAAAGTTTAGAAATTGAAGATTTTGGCAGTTTTATCTTTGAAACTGCTGAAATTTTTTTGTGCCATTGTTATTGTTTTTAACACTGTTTCCAAACAAGCTGGTAGCAACAGAGCAAACATCACCATTAACAGTAATAAAACAAGTAAATTTTATCCTGATCTTCAAAAGGTATCTTAAATACTATAGCCTAACTGGGTACAATTCAGTTCCACATCAATATTTACTAAACACAAAGAAATATTGACCACTAAGGCCCGATTTCACCAAACTTTTAAACCACCGTTAAGCCTTGCTCTAACTGCAGTTAGCTCTTAACTGACGAAATCGGATTTCAACACTCGCCGTTAGCGCTAGTTTAGACTAAACCGTCGTTAGATAATTAACTGCCCAATTTTGACCGGTTAACTTCTTTAATCTTCCGTTAAGTAAATATCAGCTGGCTTTAAGTTTAAAGTTTATATGGAAAGGCGAAATGGTAGAAGAGAATACGGTACGAATTAGCTTTTGAAAGTAAGTGATGTCAATGAAGAAAAGCCTATGTTGTTCGTCTAACTAAGGTGGATAAGAGAAAGGGTTAATTATTTGATTTTAATAACAAAGATGAAATTGATTTTATTATTAGATATGAACTATCAAAACGTTTAGCCTTTATCTTTAGGAAATGAATACAAACTACTGTAGTGGTTTGTGTTTAGGCTATCCGACATAGTGCATTGCTATAGGTTATCCCACAAGGCTTTTAGTTAAGGCGTATATCTGTGATCAGCGACCGCATTGAACTGTTTGGCGATCAAGAGCCGTACTCTTACATCCCGGATAAAAAGAGTGTCCCGGCTCTTCTACCAACATTATCACATTTATTATTTCATTGAACGAAAAAATAGGCTCCCTTTCCTTCTCCCGGCTTTGGGTAACCCTAACCAACGTTCAAACAATTGTTTTGCGTTCGGTCAGACGTAAGTAAACCAAAATCTAAACCTAAATTGTCATTATTCTGCTAGTATTTTATAGAAAATAATTATTTTGGTGTTATCTTCATTGTGTCTCGTTCTTCTAATTCTTTTGACTCCAGTTTTTTTCACTACTTTAAATGTACCAAACTGGTTAGTGAACAAACAGAATATTGAACATCCCTGTAAAAAGTTGGATTGATGAGTCTTGACTCGACCGCAAAACTCAACCAATTTGTTCCTCGAATATGTTTGATCAACATTGCTTTGCCTTTATTTACTTATGGTATTTATTCTTGCTTTCTGTTGTTATTTTGCTCATAATCTATTGTATTCCTGTAAGCGTGCTGTCTCCAGTTTTGTTTTCACTACCTCATAAACACTGATTTATTTTCTAGGTTATGTTTACTTGCTCCCGTAACAGCCCGGTATTATGACAGTTCACTGCCACTGCCACCTGGATTTTACTCTAAACTCTCGTTTATAAAACCAGCGTTAGTTTTGACGCGTTTTCGTTGGTGAAACCAGATTTCCTTAACTGTGGTTTAAATCATCGGTTAGTTTTAACCGAAGTTTAACTAAACCATCGTTAGCCAGAATTTGGTGAAATCGGGCCTAAATGTTCTAATTAATCTAATATTCATGTTTATGTTGGTGTTAGATATTAATGTTTTTTTTTTATGGAAAATTATGTTGTATTGGGTTTTAAGATTATCAGTCACATTCACATATTTATGTTATGTCTTGGTCGATCTCTTTCAGTTTTGATTGCATACAACATTTTATGATTATGTGTATTTTTCGCGTTTAGGTTTTGAGATTCTAGATTCGGGATTCGATTTTTAAAGTTTTGGTTTCGGTTTTGAGATTTGAAATTTCTGGTTTTGACCATCACTAGGGCCCTGTATAGTCAGCCACAAATGTTTGAGACACCCTGTAGGCCTATACAGAATATCAAGGCTAGATACTAACCTGTATTGTCTAGATCAGACACTAGAACCTCCACCTCATGTACTGTAGTGTCTACTTCTTCCTCCACCACCACAGCCCCTCCTAGACTAACCATCTCGCCTCCCACTTCCAGCACGGCCCCTCCAGGCTACAGAGACAATTATCAGGTTTACAGCAATAACCAATAAATAAATAATCAAATATTGATGTTGTGGCACAAACTATTAATAATCAACCCATATTGAATATGTTTAAAAGTGCTATCGGTACTGAAAATTGAGAATCAATCTTTCAGGTATCAGTATCGGTATCGAGAATCGATAAATTTTTATATCGACACATCACTAGTCAAAAACTATATTTTTCCCCTTTATTATTTTACCATTGATTATTTTTATTATTTTTTTTTATATTTACTGTGATAGTTGATATGATATCAAAGATGCTGGGGTTAATGGAAAATTGTCCTTTCAGTTTAGTTTGAATATTTAGAATTCAATATTCATCACAAATCAATAATTGATATCAGCACACTATAGTAGATAAAATAAATTACATTCATTTTTATTCAAAATTTGGCTACAACCCATTACATTCTCGTCCTATCTATAATCCATGACTACGCCCACTAGTTGTATGCCTCTTACTATTGAATGCCTGCCTAGACGACTGGGCACATTTCCTATCTCTAGATTGAAAATCCTAGAGTAAGGTAGACTCACTGTTTTTGGCGATCCCTTCACTTCTGGCGTCTTGGATTCTTCCTCCATGGAGTTGTCGGGAGTGGAATACAGCAGCTGAACCACGTAGTTGTTCTTGGGAGTCTCCGGTCCGATGATGAAGTTGTCCACCTCTGCCTCTGTCTCTTTGATCTCTCCATTGTCACTGGCTCCGTCCAACGATTCCTACAGATCAAACAAACAAAGTAAATAGTCAGTGGCTACATGTTTAAAAATACAGATTAAATCAATGATTGACTCAAGAAACTAACATAATCAAGTGTGCCTGTATGGAAGAGGAGCTGTTAAAGGCAATAGGACAAAGCCCTATGAATGAAATGTGTGGGCCTACAAAGGGCTTGTACTAATGTTACAGTGTGTAAATTATAATTCTGATAGTTTGCCCAAAAAAAATCAATTGAACAAGATTTGGTTTGGATAAAAAAAACTGCGAATGTCATGTCCTTTTTTGAATGATTTATCACTGAAAAAAATAATTGTTGACATACAATTCAATGTTTTAGACTAGAGTTAAAGTTTAGTTATAGAATAAAATCTAAAATGTTCAACAGAACAAAACCCATATCTAAATCAAGAGACAGTAAAATATTGGGCAAGATTCTACTATATCAGTCATGTAAAATTAATGCCATGCAAAAAATAATAGCATCCTTCAATAAAAGGCCGCACCCAAAAATGTGGCAACTCAGCATTCACCGGCCTACTAGTCACAATTATAAAAACATTAAAAATATTTAAACATTAGCATAACGCAGATGTTCCACAAGAATTTTTCCTAAGGCCAGGACTGCGGTGTCGCCACTTTTGTCTTGCCCTGGCCTTGTGAGGGGTTAAAATAACTTATTGTACATTCTTAATCAACAATTATTTTGTACAGTATAGTTATGTGAACACTTGCTAATAGTGATGATTAGCAATATCACTCCTGTTCTTATATCACTTATCATCCATTGCTTGTGAACAAAGAAGGGATGGATGGATATTTTAGGACCCCGATAAATATTGGCAATGGCACCACAAATGTGGAACATTTTACAATTGGTTTGTGACCGCAAGACAAAGTGTCAATGATCCCGTGGCAGTTAGACATGACGATGTTGATGATGACAACCCCCCCCCCCCCCCCAACCGCAACATAACCCTGGAGATGTTCACGATGATGTCACAATCAAGGATTATAGTGATGATGACATGTTGATTGGTACACATTACATTATAATTACTAATGCTAGTCCTGCTTTTCTACATATTTCTGTCATTTCATACATTAAGGAGCGAGACCTATGTCTGTATAAATTCAAATTGTAGCTTCCTTCTCTTGTACGTTTAAATTAATTGAGCCCATCCTTTGAATCTTAAGTCCCCTTTCTGTAAGCCCACTCTGCAAACCCCTCTTATAGGCCTAATTATCCGCCTTACATTTATGGTCTCAAGCTAGAAAATGTGGTTCTAAAACTTACAGCAGCCTCGGAATCGTCTTTGTTTTGTATGTCTGAAGATGTAACCTCTTCTAAGTGTTCACCAGAAGTGTCATGACTCACAGATATTACCTAAAACATCACATTTACTTCAATTACATTAAATCACAAAAATAAATGGCATCGTTTTTGTTCAAACACCATAATTGTTCAATGTGTTGTTTTTGTTCTGTGCACACTAGGTGATAGTGTTTATTTCTCCACTGATAAATAATATTCCATTTACTAGTACAAGTTTTAACTTCTTAATAACATAAGCGTTTTTAAGACACGCTCTGTAGACCTGGTAATATGTATAAAAGACATAACATTAGGCTCTCACTTTGATTAAGTTTCATTCAGACTTTGGAAATTTTTGATGGCCAATTGTGTATGACACACAAACTAGAAAATGGGAACATTATTGTCCATAAACAAACAAACAAATCACAGCCTGTACACAGACTTATAATCCTATTGTAAAATCTAAAAGTTTTTATGTGTGTTATGGTTATACTTTCACTTTGAGCGCTTGTGTTGATGAAAAGATGTTTCACTGGTTATAGGGCAGATTTTACGATTTGTGCTTTCAGTTTGGTTGTAAAGAACAGCTACTGATTATATAAATTCAAATGCAGTGTTGGACTGCAAACACCACCCGTCCCATTTCCGCTGCCTCACGGGGTTGACTCCCCTTGTATTTTGTACTTGAGCGCCTTTATATGGCTCGCTAGGACAGTTGATGCAACCCGCATGATGGGACATAATGTTTTTGAGTTGACATAGGTACTAGTAGCAATCGGCCAAGTGCCAGCTTAGATGTCACGAGCTATACACTAGTGGTAAACAGAACCACTCAATCTACATCAACCGGATAAAACTAACTTTGAAACAATCTTTAGCTTATCATTAAGGAAGATAAACCAATATAGAAGTATTTTTAAACATGTGCCAAGGCAAACAATACTGACCCCACCACCAGCCACGATCATGTTGACTGTCTGACTGTCCAGTTCAGTGATGGACTGTTGCTCCTCCATGGTGTCAGAGTCTTGTAAGTTGGTCAATGACGACTGTTCCTGCTCTCCGTCCTGTCCGTCCTGCTCCTAGTCAAACACAGAAACATTGAATGTTATAGAACTCTACAATACTGCTGATCCCACCATCAGCCACTATCATATTGACCAACTGACTGTCCAGGTCAGTGATGGAATGTTGCTCCCCCATAGTGTCAGAGTTGTGTAGGTTGGTCATTGACGACTGCTCCTGGTCAATGCTCCTGAGGCAAATACAGTACTGTATATATGGGTGCATATTCATAGATGATGACGAAAAATTACTGTAACGCCCCAGGGATAACGCTGCGGTGTTGATGCTGGGTGGGGGAGATGAAATTAGCTTGGATAATCGGAGTTCTACCGCAAAAAAATCACGATTGCCGATCCGGACTAACGGGAGTTCGGACAAGGCCAATTCGGATGAACGAGAGTCTACTGTATCTTGTGGACTGTCTGACTACCCAGTTCAGTAATGGATTGTTGCTCCTCCATATTGTCAGAGTCTTGTTGGTTGGTCAAAGACTTCTGCTCCTGATCTCCGTCCTGCTCCTGGTCAAACACAGAAACATTCAAGGTTGTAGAACTGTACAATACTGACCCCTACAATCATGTCGACTGTCTGACTGTCCAGCTCCGTGACGGACTGCTGCTCCTCCATGGTGTCAGCGTCTTGTAGGTTGGTCAATGACTTCTGCTCCTGCTCTCCATCCTGCTCCTGGTCAAACACAGAAACATTCAAGGTTGTAGAACTGTAAAATACTGACCCCTACAATCATGTCGACTGTCTGACTCTCCAGCTCCGTGATGGACTGCTGCTCCTCCATGGTGTCAGCGTCTTGTAGGTTGGTCAATGACTTCTGCTCCTGCTCTCCATCCTGCTCCTGGTCAAACACAGAAACATTCAAGGTTGTAGAACTGTACAATACTGACCCCTACAATCATGTCGACTGTCTGACTGTCCAGCTCCGTGATGGACTGCTGCTCCTCCATGGTGTCAGGGTCTTGTAGGTTGGTCAATGACTTCTGCTCCTGCTCTCCATCCTGCTCCTGGTCAAACAAAGAAAAATTTCATGTTTTTAAACTTTACAAAACTGTTCCCACTTAATGAAAGGTTACAGATAATGAATACAGTTTTTTATGAATAAACTTAACTCTGCAGGAATAATTGTTCTGGGTTTTATCAAATGCTTGTGAGATTCCTATTTTTAATACATTTTATTTTAGTTGAATTAATTAAAAGCCAAAATACATTGCTCACCATATTGGGATGAAATTTGCAAACACCACTTATTTCAAATAAATTATGAAATTAGAACCAAGAAATAATCCAGAGTTAGAGTAACAAGAGCTTACAGTACGTCCAAAGTGCGCGCTGATTCAGATTCAGATTTTCGGCGCAGGAATGGCACTTGCATTTAAATCGAAGTGTTCATAGTGGCCGCCGGTTTCCGAGCCGGCGAGCAGGCACCTGCTTACCGGAATGAATTCTTCATTCTGGTTTCAGATTCCGATTCAGATTTTGCTTGTACGCATGCTATTTGAAAAAATAAATTCTAGTTTTTATAGTAAAGTATTTAATTTTTTCATCCTTACTTTTAGGGTTACCACTAACAACTCTGCACGAAAATTGTTCTTTTTTTGTCTAGGTAACAAAAGTTTCTTACAATACGATGTCCAAATTTAACAACAAGTTTCTGTGGTTTTGGGCTCCATTCAACGCAATATAGAAAGAAGCTCTATCAATTCTAGATATGGAAAAAGATATATATAATATCATGAACACCATTTTTCTCTGACTGTAACTTCACAACAGTTTAAGACGTTGTAATTTTACACCTCAATTCCTCATCAGACAATTTCATAACAACGACCAACATGCTTCTTTGGTAACCAAGTCAGTAGCGGCGGGGTATTTTCTGCTTCCACTGTGGCCACCAACAAAATATCTGACTTAGATTAACCACGCGCCGAAAATCTGAATCTGATTCTGAATCTGAATCTGCCTGCACTCTCGAACGTACCGTTGGCCAATCCACCTTGTAATACCAAGTTTTTAATCGCTAATTTATAACAATGAACTCTACATAAAATATTCCATTTGTTGGTAAAAATTTGTTCCACACAGTATAAGGACTAAAATATAATTGGTATATCTGTATCAAGATCAAGTTAGTTTTCCCACCCCTTCTTTGCAACAAGATATGACTATAGAATACATATATATTACTCCTCTGCGATGTCCATATAAAAAAAATAAAAAACTTATAGTTCGGCCGCTTAGAAAACGACCTGCACGCTAATGCTAAACCAATGCTGGAGGAGGTCGCTTTCTAAGCGGCCGAACTATAGTTTTTAGTTTCAATGATATCATCATAAATAAATGGACTGGATTAACAGAAAATTTCATTGGATTGTTATGAACTTTCTATATCAAAGTGATAAATTTAGTTAGATCAAGGGTCTTCTTCACCCCTACGAAAACAATAAAAACCTGCCTTGGATTATGACCCTTGCTCCAGATGGAATGTGTAAAGACATAATGTTAAAACTTTTTCCCCTTGAAGATTAATGTTGGTTCTAGGGCCCTCATACATGATAATATACAAGAAAATCAATAGTATAAGAAGTACAGAAAAAAACGTAAATTGGGTCACTTTTAAACACTGTTAAACTAATTATTTTCTTTTTCAATTTTTTGAGGTAAAAGAGCTCTAGTATAACTATTCAACTACATTGATGCCAAATTACAATAAAACATCTGTTGAAAAACGACGAAATGGGGGACGAAATTAACATGGTTTGTCGGAAGCTACTGCGCTACTAGCCTTTTACAAAACTTGGCTCAGGCAGCAGATTAATTAATTACTAACGTGTCAGGCATCCAGTTCAGATCGTGGCAATGTCACCCGATACCGTGTGTGCGACAGGCCTGTTCGTTGTGTCTTCGTTAGTAATTGTAAAATGTTATTCGTGTTCGTGTTATGTGTTTCAACTATGACGACGCTACTTCAGCTGAATGTTCAACGTCTGACGATGGCATTATAATGCCGAAACGGCCGTAACTCAAGTTACAACAGATTGAGCTGTAGACGAAGGTAAATACCTATTTTTAATTAACGTGTCAATTTGAATTTTATAGTCGTGGTGTTTACAATGTTTTCAGAAAGGCGCGCATAATGACCCCACGCAACCCGTCTGTCCTCAACACCTTACCCCCCAAGGCCATAATCCCCAAAACGCAACTACACCGAGGGTGATGAAGACTCTTAAGTGTCTGCTAAGATTGTATGATAAAATTTCCTCGATTTTACTGTAAGGATAAAGGACACTACCTATTGCTTTTGCTGCAACCTTAGGAGACTTCATGAGCAAACTCAAGAGATAATTTAAATTACTTTACACTTTATTAGTATAATGTAGTTAAAAAACTTATAGTTTTTATATCAATTCTTTCCAAAGCAAGAATATTTTAACCAACCTGAAGTAAACAGGTTTGGCCCAACAGGCCCCCAATAAATAATCAACCAACCTCATTCTCAGTTCTAGCCACTTCCACAGAGGGTTTATCTCCATCTGTTGTCATCTCTACTTCCACCTCTTGCATATGTATACCTGAAAAACATCAAATATGGTTTAAGTTTGTGCAAACAAGTAGAAATTGGGATGGATGAGTGTCTATTTAAGAACCCGATGTATTTAGAGAATCTACATGAATACTCTGTATTAATAAAACTACGGGTGCGTGAGGGATCATATATTTTTAAGCGAGAATTTCAGAATGGCAGAATCAAAGCGCAATCTTTAATCTAACAAGAAACAATAAACAAAAATTAATTAGGGTTAAACAGCAGATGATAAAAGAGTTTCTTTTAAGGCCAACCAAAAAAGTTAGTTCCGGTTATATAAAAAAAAAAAAACTGTGTTTTTTTGTTCTTGCAAATTTTGACATTTAAGTGAATACGGGGGACAGAATAGGGTACTGGGGCAAAATTAGAATTATTGGTTATAATTGATTAATTATATGTATTTATAGTCAATGGTGGAATCGATCACATTTGATTATAAGCCGGACATTATAATCTCGGGATGTAATAGATAAATAATATTAAATACTTTATTTAGTAGATGTTCAAGGGTATAGTTTACATTTTAAACACAACTTATTTGATACAGAAAATATTTTATTTAAACTATGATGTAGAGGTTTTAAAACATAGGCCTGAATGAAAATTGATTTAATATGTCCAAGTTGTACTGTGAAAAGATTTGATTTAATTTGCAGTGTTAACCTTTAGGATAGTGGGTACCTTGATACATTATAAAGATGAAAATGCTAAGCATTGAATAGCACACCAGCTCTGCAGTAGCCTATCTTTTGTGCAGTGTCCTTGATTATTTGAATTTCAATGGTAATTTTGTTATGTATAATTATATAAATATAATATTCTTATAGTTTCACTCGTCTTGTTTTAGATAGATAATATAAATAAATATCAATCCACTTTCAGGTAATTTCAATCCATTTGGCTGAAATAAATGAATTTTAGCGAATTTCCCTATAGGGAAGTAGCTATTACCGTAGGTCTCATGGTAAGACCTAGGCCCGGGACCGATTTACTTTTTCATTTTGATGTCCCCAGAGGCCAAAAACACCATTCGTTCAAATTTTTATATATCTATATATAGATATATATATATATATATATATATGCACGATAACTTGAGTAATTTTTGTCTGATTTTGATAAAATTTGGTTTGAAGGTGTAAGGCGGGATAAACTCGAACGAGTTCGCGAACCAGCATGATCGGACTATGGGAACGGGGGTTTACGGGGGTTTTATGGGGTAAAAATGGGTTTTTCCCATTTTTGACCAAAAAAAAATAAAATTTTGCAAAATCTTTTCAAACCATTTTGTAGAGCTTAAAAAAACAAATAATTTAGTATATTGAAGTGTTACTATGCGCCTAATGGTTACGGAGAAAATTCCAAAAAAATTTAAATTTTAAATTCCCATGTTATTCTTATGGAGAATGAGTAAACTGTTGTAGTTTGCTTGTTTATAAACATTTTTTGATCAAATTTGGAAAATGTTTTTATTTCTTACTAACTATTAACATTTTACAAAAAAAAAGTTTTACCCTCCCTGATGCAGCAAACCTAAGTACCTGTTAAAATAATTCTATTTAAATAGGAAATAAATGTTAAATTTTTAAGTAGACATTTTAGTGTAAATCCAATCAGACATATGGAAATTCGCTTAGTCTGCAGGTTTGCTGCGGCGGGGGTATTATAGCCTATTTTTAATTGAAAATGTTTTTAAAACTTATGTCATTTTTGGCTTGATAAAAAAAGTTATTACTGTACTTTTATCTTTATAATAATATATAGGCTATATGTATGAGCTAATGTTTATCTTCTTTTGCAAGCGTAAATGTAGGGACAGTAAAAGATAAAAATATAAATTTTGTAAACATTGAACTCCTAAAGGTAGGCCTATACAAAATCATGTCCCACTCTAGTACCAAATATAAATCCATTTAAACTTGCTCATCCAATGCAATGAAGTAACTTTTTGTCAATTTAATTTGAGAATGACGTTTTTATTAAAAAATTGCTTCTGTTTTATTCCAAGCAAACTAGATTAAATTACCGGACATATCTGGCTCTTCCATTTCCACGTTGTTTTCTTCCTTTTCCTCAGGAATTTCTTCTTTTATCTCTCCTAGGCTAATGCTGCTACTGTCCACTTCCTCCACTACCTCAGTGGATGATATTTCTACTGTAGAAACCGGTTCAGGCTGCATTGCAGGGATTGAATCTTCTTCAATTGGTTCTGAAACCATAATCCCATTCAAATTATCCATAACAAGACTTGTTTATTTTAAAACTCTTAAATAATTTGTTTTCATACAGTCACCTGACAAAGTGGCCTTCCTTGCAGTGATTATAGCACAGAAAGTTCATAATTGCTACATTTACTTACTTTTGCCACACTCTTTTTACTTTTGCTGCACTTTTTCTTCCACACTCTAGTATTCCAACCAAACAACAAAATGGTGTGTTTATTAGGCAGGTGTGTGTAAGCTTGAAAATAAGTTGGCATCACTTAAAGGATACTGTATTACGACTATGATCAGATAGTGCAGTGTTTCCCAATTCGTTCAATGTTTGGATTTAACTTAACATAAAACCGTGTTCTACATATTTATATGATTTATAGTAACTGTAGGAAAAGTGCAATGTGTAACACAGGTGCAAACTGCCTTTGCTACTCTCGAGAAACTTTCCACACTGGCCTACGGATTGTGCGTAAACATGTCTCTCATGTGCAGCAAAGTGCCACTTCGCCCACTAGTTACACAAATAACTATTGCAAACCATTTCAGGCTATAAAAATGAAGAAGAAGAAACATCCATTAGATTTTTTCTAAGATTGAAATTTTACAATGTAAGGGTCACATATTTGAGCTTCTCAACGGAAAGATGTACTATTCCGCCTAATCCAAACACTTGTTAAGTAGATTGAATTTATAAAGAAAAAGCCACCAAATTTTTACAAAAAAAGTATGACTTGCATTGTAAATGTCCTACTCTTTTGCATTAAAATATATCAATAACATAATTTTCTTAACTTACGGTTATAGAATCTTTCTTTATTTCCACAATCAATGACATAAATAAACCTACGACATAGTTTTTTAAAATATTTTATTTTATTTGTTTGGATCAGCTATCTGAAATTGTGAAATAAGCATTTAGCAGTTCTGACTGTTTACATTGAAATTTCAACGAAAAGGTAAACAAAGAGATTGTGAATTTTCTCGTGATTCCATGGAGACCAATTAATATTTACTTTGAGAACCTCACCTCAAAACTTTGGACATCCAAGGGACGGAGTCCGAGAGGAACTCAGGAAAGTGAATAGTCCTATGACATTCCTAGGTATGTGGACGATCTTTGTGCTTAATTTGGGGTGTAATGGTTTACTATTTTAGTCGTGGCAGCCGGACAGACAGACACCACCTAAATTTTATAATAGTATATGGATAGTTTAGATAGATATGACTTGTGAAGAAAGTTTGGATCGCCAGAATTTAATCCCCCTGGAATTTTACCCCCTTGGCTAAAGCAGATGTCACTATGACATAGTAACCTGAGCGCTCTAAAGTTTGTTCATGGGCGGAATTTTATCCCCGCAGATTTGGGAGTCTAATGAAAATAGACAGAGCGTGATAAATTAGATTAGCAATAAAAACCAGAATTTTCCCCCTGTCCATATAGGGTAACTAGCATTTAGGCAACTGTAGATATACAGCTCAGATTCCCCCCCCCCCCCCGGATTTTTACCCCCGGAATTTTATCCCCTGTGCTGATATAGAAATTAGTGGATAATATATTTTTTTTATTTTAGTTTTGATTGATTTTGACCATTTTTGTATAAAATAGCCTTAGATCTTAATTTATTTGTAACCTCAACCAAGTAAACAGGTTTCGCTGTTTAGTTCTGATATTCGAGTTTCGGAATTCAACTTTTTGGGCAAACTGTTAGTTAATATGTATGTAAACAAACTGAGTAGCCTAATCAAATGATAATAGGGTAAATATTTCTTAAGCGATTTATTATACAGCCGTGGAAAAACAATTTATTTCATTTCCGTTGTACTATGTCTTGCCTTCTAAAGACATTGCACAATTTATTTTTATTTCTTCATACAAAAACCATGGGTTTCCTTACAGTAGTCAACACAACAATTGGTTGAATACTTCGTACCGGATGCCTACAACTACATTTTACAACAGGTCTTTCGATGATCATTTTTAGTCCTAACTATCAATAGCTCATGGTTTGTGCCTGAAGAAATAATGAGGCATATTTTGTTATTGTTAAAACACAAACGAGGGAAATTGTTTTTCCTAGGTCGTTAAACAAATGCATATTTTGTTATTGTTAAAACACAAACGAGGGAAATTGTTTTTCCTAGGTCGTTAAACAAATGTTCAAAACAATTATTATTCATATGGGCTACTCAGTTTGTTTGGATACATATTGACCAACAGTTGGCCCCAAAAGTCAAATCCTGAAGCTCGAATCTCTAAATTAAAATGCAAAACCTCTTTCATTAGTTGAGGTTACAAAGATAGGCTACCTACTTAATAATAAAATGTTTACCAATAAATTAAAACTGAAAGAAGAAAATTAATTATTTTCACTAATTTCTATATCTGGCCAGGCGGTAAAATTCTGGGGGTAAAAATCCGGGCCATACATTTTGAGCTGACCTCATGAAGGGCGCAAAATTCCAGCCCGTACAGTCTCGGTTTTATAATTTGATGTGTTCTGATTAAATTCACAACGGTGAAAGTATACATTTAATTCTACCTGTAATATATTGATCTGATGTTGTGCAACTCAAAAGTTCACGGCCGGAACTATACCCCCTGGTTTGTGATGTCAGTTTTGCTTAGGGTAAAATTCTAGGGGGATAAATTCCGCTACACCAAAAGTATTTGATCTATAAGTTTACTAGTATTAATTAGTTTATTGTTTGGCAACATTTGGCTAGAAATATACAGGGTGATTGATATAAGTGTGCCAGCCGTTTTATTCGAAAACTATAAGAGATATCAAAAAAAGTTAAATGATAAGTGCCATGGATTTTCTATTTGAAAAATTTTAGTCAAGTCAAAAAAATTATTTTAGCCGCCATTTTTCCAATATGGCCGCCAATGTTGATTTTTCTTATAGAACACCTTGTATTTTATGATGTATTCTGGTAGAAAAAGGAATTTTAAGACGATTTTCTGCTTGTGATTTTTTTCATAAACCTAACCGTTTCAAAGATAATAATGGTTAAAGTTTTGAAATTTCTGCATGAGAAAGAGGTTCGATAAAGGCCTAAGCAAGCATGCCAGCTGTTTTGTTCGAAAACCATTCAAAATTTCACAACTTAAACCATTATTGTCTTTGAAACGGTTAGGTTTATGAAAAAAATTACAAGAATAAAATCGTCTTAAAATTACATTTTCTACCGGAATACATCATAAAATACAGGGTGTTCCATAAGAAAAATCAAAGTTGGCGGCCATATTGGAAAAATGGTGGCCAAAATAATTTTTTTGACTTGACTAAAATTTTCTTAATAAAAAATCCAAGGCACTTACCATTTAACTTTTTTTGATATCACTTATGGTTTTCGAATAAAACGGCTGGCACACTTATATCAATCACTCTGTATATAAAGTGTACATTTGATTAAAAACTCAAATTTTGTTTATCTTCTATACTGTACACTGACTTGGGCTAAAGCCTTTAATGAAGTGAAGAATGTGCACTGAACAATTAAACCTAACTCACATAACCCTTAATTCTTTGTTTAAAAGGCTTGGTTGATTTTCTTTTCGATGGGGAGAACAGGTTTGACTGTACAGTGGGAGAGTCTTCTCACCAATTAGATACACACAGAAAAATGTAATTAGTGTATGTAAATATAAATGTATTTCCTATTAAGAAGACCCACTGACTGTATACGTAAGCCTGGTGCTCCTTTCAAAAGTTAAATCAAAATCAATCATATTGCAGTCATTTTTCTAAACAATTTGTAATTATTATGTACAATGACACAGACAAAATTTACCACACATTTGAAATAATGAATATAAATTCAGAACAACATAATTGAGTTTGATAGTGTCACAAAGCCTGATATTATCAAAATGAATCATAACAATAATAAGGGAAATAAAGTGTGAACTAAATAGTATATTTCGTGCCTAGGGCCGAAAATGAGGTTTTGCCGGCTCGAGATAGTTTTTAAGTTTGAGACGAAGTCGAGAACTTAAATCGATCGAGAGCTGCAAAACCATTTCGGTCCGTGGTACGAACGCTATTTTTCACCACACTAAAGGCCTACCGTATTACCACTATTCACCACTATAATAATGCACACTGATAGTCAACACAACTACAACTTTAAGGTTAAGATAAGAAATAATTTGAGGAATCTGCAAAAATAAAAATAAATAGTAGCTAGGCAACGGTGTCAATATCACAATTTTATTGCAATGCTATGGATTTTTATTGTGTATTTAAAATGCATTCATGTTTTAAGTACCGTAAGTAAAGCGGACAGCTGATTTTGTGCCCCGGCCTGTAAAAACCTGCTCAGTCCCCAAATTACGATGACAGCTGGCATGGCCAGCAAAACTAACTTTCAGCCACCAATTAACTACATACAGCCAAAAACATAATAGTGTGGTGAAAACATATGTAGGGCCTGTTGGAAAATTGAACAACAATTAATTTTTCCTACAGTCACCCGACAAAGTTGGCTTCCTTGTACTGTTTATAGTACAGAAAGCTGCTAATTGCTGCATATTTATACTTTGCCGTACGGTTTATACTTTGCCGCACATCAGGATTCCAACGAAACAACACAAAACAGCGTGGTTCTATTATGCACGTAATCCGTGTACGCTTGGAAATAGGTTGGCAACACTTAAAGATAATAATACTATGAGCAGCTGATTGACTATTATAACTACGATTTAACCTGTCATTTCGTGTTTATAGTTTCGGTATTTCTGAACTTTCTGGACTTTTCTTTTAAACGTTTTTAAAAAATTCCTACGATCTTAATAAACAATAAAATACCTTTAAAGCATTTTTTTAGGCGCGGAAACCACTTCAAATTACAAAAACATACGGAACTATATTCTCAAAACGCGGAGCACATTTCTTGCCGAGGAAAAATAGCGGAGTGATACGGACCGCGGGTACTACTTTCTCTAAGGCACCATTTGTGTTGCCAGCTGAACCTAAAAATGTGTCGTATAGTGTTTGAAAGACTAATTATTTATATGCTTTATAGTGACTGTAGGAAAAATATAATGTGTAACAGGAGTGAAAAAGGCCTTTGCTGCACTCGAGATCATTCCGAGTAAACATTGAATGCTCGTAAACATTGCTCTCGTGTGCAGCAAAGTGCCACTTTCACCACTAGTTACACAAATAACTATTGTATCTTCAACTACATGCACCTGTGTGCATGGAGGTTTCTAAAAACAGTCCAAAGGAAAAATTACTGCAAATTATGCTAGTCACTTTTACACCTTTTATAAAATTCAAAAAATTCCCTGTTACCTAACTAATTCTATGGGAATACTCTCTATAGATATTTCTTCCTTATGGAACAGCTTAAGGCAACGTGATTTAATGTTAATTATGTCTGGTTATAAAACAAGCATAAGTTGTTTTTGTGATTTTGATAATATTTTCAGATTTTTTTATTTAACCAATTTGAAAGATATTCTAGCGAAATAAAACTATATTTAAAATCAATGATTGTCCAATGTTTTACGTATTACGACCAACAGAATGAAACACAAATCTTAAAATCCACCCTGAAATAAGAGTAGAACATTTTAGTCGGTACTAGTGCTCACTTCAAAAACATAAAAACAAGCTTCATGTTTTACAAAAGGATGAGAAGTTACTGTACCATTTAACGTACCAGTGCTAAATCTTCTTGATGGATTAAATTTAAATATCACTTACCATAAAGCCTAAACTTATCAACAACTAATTAATTGGGTATAGAAAGACTGGTCAGCCAAACAATCAAGATAGTCAAGTTTGTTCACTTTCACATTCCATCTGCATGTTTGAGGCAGGATCAGATTTGTTTGTTTGCTTTTCAGTCTCAATATTGCCATTGGCTTCTAGTAATTTCCCTGGGATTAGTGAAAGTTCCATAAATTTAAATTTAAAATTGTTTGTGTTTATTCTCATGGATAATTAATAACCTAACTATTGTAGTTTGTTTCACAAATTATATTTCCGTTATCAATAATTTACACTGTGTATGTCTAATGTTTGTTGATGTTTTTAATGTTTTTACAATTTAATTTAATGCAGGCAACTCTCAATCTGTGATATTGATTATATCTACTGTGATTGATATTATTCTATGTTATTATTTAAACCTCTAACTGGCAATGGGTGAACTTGAACTATGTAGTGGAAAGGCATTTTTGGTGATTTTGCAGTCATATTTTTGAAAATGTATATAAACTAAACCAATATGCACTATGTTAACTAGTTGTGTTAAATGTAGGCTGAATTGACTCCCCTACATGAATAAATATGGTTATAAACGCAAATATAAATAAATAAATATTTTATACTGTTTTATATGAAATGCTGCTGCGCCTTTTTCATGTCGCGATCAAATCGTTTGTTCACATGACGAAATGTTCGATAAACGCTCTATCTACTATCTATTATTTTAGGGTTATTTTTTTTTATTTGTACTTTATGTACTTTCTTGCTATATAACCAGGGGTTGAGCTATTGTATGATGAGATTGTTTTCTTTGGTTAACACGTTCGCTACCCAGCGACGCACATTTGCGTCGGTCCGGTCACTCCTACAGACCAAAAGGAATGATCATGACGTTGCTTACAGACCAAGTGATATAGGAATAACATTGCCGACAGACCAAAAGAGAAATATAGTTTAAATGGACTAATTGACTTCATATTAACCTTAAGTGAATTAGTAAGCAATAAATATTGTTTTTATTTATCGTTTTGAGCAAATTTTAAAACGCCGCATATATGCGTCGGTCAGTCTATTTATAGAAATCCAGTTAAAAAGATTACATTTTCGTTTCAATAGACCAGGCGACGCACGTAAGCGTCGTTGTAAATTTGGTTGTTTCAAGCTTTTACACAAACAAATAAAGAAACTCCACTAAACACTAGCCAAAACTGCAATGGTTATAACGTTTACATCTGTTCTGTGATGTCGGGGAATACACAATGTAAACAACAATGTTGCCTACTGCTGTGTGACGTAACCAATCGTCATATCCACAGACCAAGCGACGCACATTTGCGGCAGATATCCCTCTAGACCGATACGATAAAATCAGGGCTTTCAAATAGACCGTTGCTAAGAAATATGCTGATTATTAACATTGAACACCGACGCAACTGTGCGTCGTTAGTCTATTTCAATGTGACCAGCTGACGCAAATATGCGTCGGTGGTCTATTGTGAGAAACGAGTCGACGCACAATTGCGTCACTGGTCTATGAGAACGTAAATTCCATATAATTGAGGTAGCGAACGTGTTAAACGAGGTATAAAATAACTGAAATAGGATTGTTTTCAGCTGATCCATAAGAATAAAAAATATGGCTTACGTTGAATCCTTGTAATAACGTTATAACTATTGACTGTATCACCTACTGACGTACTGTGCGATGTTCATGTTTGTGGGATTGAAATTTGAAGCCGTTGCGGCAGCAGCAATGGGGTGCTTTGTTGCAGGAATGGTCTGAGGCCTGGATAGCCAGTTTATTTTCAGTCCCGCAAACGTGAGCTCAATACTATTTCAATATATAACATTGCTACAGTGTTTAAGACGGCATTTAAGGCTAGAACCAAGTAGATAAAAAAAACTTGCAATAATAAATTTGTATTGTCAAAATGGTGTTCAAGCACTTAACATTTAGACCTGATTTAGTATTTGGTACTTTGGTATTAGGACCGACCACACCAATAAATCGACTTCCAAATAAGATTTTAATTATCTTTAATAAAAAATTTTCCTAACCTAAGCTAAAAATCCAGTGAAGTTGTTTCAGTAAGTACAAGGTGAGTAGAAGTATGCCGTATTGCCGCACTATATATTCTTATGACATGCAATGGTTATATAGACCTGGTCTTTATACTTAACATACGGTACCTGAGACAAGGTAATTTTGCACTACGTTCATCACACTGTGTATGATGCCAAATAGACAACAACCCTGAACCGTAAGTAGATTATTATGAAACCAGAATTGCCTAGCCCGATTCATACACACTGAACCTATTTATCAAAATAGGCTATGTAACTATATGAAAAAAAAAAAATTACATATAAAAAATTTAGTCCTATTTCACTTTCTTGTCCAAACATTAATCTTTGGTTGGTTTGTTCGTTGTTTCACTAACAAATTTTGAAATTTAATAAAGAGATCACAAAATGTAAAATTAAATCCACCAAGAGATCAGAGATCATAGATGGATCTCTTGGCTACGCCCACACAACTTTTTTGAGGAAGTGTATGTAAGTATTCATATTCTTTACTATTAAGTTAGCCTACCTCACAAACAATAACAAGTTTGTAAAAAAAAACTAATTTTATTATAAAAAAACACACACAGATAAAAAATATTTTTTTCTAACATATCATTTTACAAAAACATCAAAATAAGTTCTTCATGATACATGATTTTTCATGTTTTATGAGAATTCTATCACTTTTCAATAAAGTCAGTTGACCCACATACTGAAACAGATTTTAGAACAACATACATTTATCCTCAATTAGATGATCAATTAGTCTTACATATTGTATCTATAATAGACCAACCTTGTTCTTGTAGAAAAAAGTCTTCAGCAAACGATTTCTTTAACAGTCGAAAGTCAAAAATCGTCTTGGGTGGAAAGATTGTACCTTTTATCTATATGTTAAACTTTGCATTGCATATTACATTTTGTGAACAATGATTCTTTGGTTATGTTTCTGAACTACAATTGAAGGTCATGTCACACTGACATCCGCCGCTACCACCGAGAGACGTTAGCGAGCAGACGTTTTACAACGAGCCAATCCACAATGAAATTATCGCACCCATGTAGGAGTTTTAAGGTAGGAGGGGTCAAGCTCATATCGGCGATCACAGCGCTGTCGCTTAAAATCTTGGCCACTGGTAGTAAGTAGTGAACAAGGATAAAAAGATGTCGTCCGATGTACATTTTGGTGCAACCACTATTTCCAACGAAATAGTGTTCCGTGGGTGGACAACAATTCTAGTAGTGAGCGATTTTTCTCGTCCACCGCGGTAGCGAGCTCGGTGTGTCATGACCTTAAGGTAGCTGAAGTTACAAAGCTCAACCTAGAGTTTAAGAATAGACAGCACTATCAATCTAAGTATCATCTAGAACTACATGATACAATGATCCAACGCCAGAGACACATTGTAACAAATTGATACCAGCTGATTTTACAACCTCAATCCAATTTCAGTTGTCGTTTACAGTTGTAGCTTTAGAATCACTCTTTCACTAGAATATGTCTGTACCAGAAAATGGCCTTGACTTACTGTGTCTCAATTAAAATGTTCAATTTTTCATTGTAATAGGTACCTATTACTATTACATGATTACATTCTTTAACGAGATAAACTGTTGACAAAACCAAGTGTGTTCTTTAAACTCAGAAATAGTATCTTGTTAAGACGGATTTGTATTCAGATGGCATTTTAAGGCTTAGAATACAAGTACCTTTTTTAACAGGTGAGCTGAAGAGCACTGTTGGTTCAATCTGTTTTGCCGGGGACTCCAGAAGTCTTGAGAGCGTAGGTGAATCTGCAACAGAATTTTAAATAAAAAAATGCTAAATGCAGTAGGCTACTCTATCTCCCATTTTTTCTTTTATAAGATAAAATGATAGCTGTAGGCCTTGATCACTTGTTAAATAACATTTGTAAAATCGCTTTACTTCACTATTGCCTTTCAAGATTGAATTGAATATTTTTTATGTTTCTTGTAGCAGTAAACTAAGTATTAATCACTTGGTGTGCACATTTTCTACTACCTGAATATTTCTTTACCTAAGAATTTATTTGTCATTTTAATAAGATTATTCTAAAATAAATTTTACTCTTTACCTGATGTAGTAGAGTATGACGGAGGCGGGGGAGGAGGGTTGAGGAGGTGTTGTATAGAGCCACCCCTATAACTACTGGGACTCTGCAGGAGGCTCGTCAGTAGTGGTGAAGTCGCCACTTTAGTCTCCTGCAACAGATTATATGCTATCAACAAAACGTGCCCAGATTAGGATAACCAAATGTCCCAGGGAACCAGGATCGTTCTATTTTTTTTCCTCATCACACATGGTCTCTAGGGCCGCTAAAAGTCCCAGGAGTGTATTACAAATTTATGGAAGTATATACAAGTATTATAGGGGGAAAGGCCTATAACTAATTTATTTGCTACCTGGGCACATTCAGCCCAGGGTGGAACCAATATAGTTGTCCCCGGTGTTTTTTGAGAAATGATTTGGCCACCTTAGACAAGATGTAAAAGTAGCATGTATCTGTTCCAAACCCATATGGCTACCATGCAAAATGTGTCTGGGACTTGTTTCGTTGTAGTGTATAGTGTAGGCCTATATAGAAATTAACTAATGTTTAGTACTTTGAAAACTATGTCACCTGAGGTTCTGAATGTGGAGTAACTCGTCCTCCCTCCAGACGACTTCTTTCTTCATGTTGACGTAGGATTGATCCTCTTGTAGCTTCCTTTTCCTTCTCTCTGTACAAATTGTCAAAAATAATAACTTTAAACAAATTTTATAACATATTAAAGTATTATATGCACATCTACAAAATGGCATAATGTAAAGTAGGCCTGTCAACAATAATTAACATTTTATTTTAATTAGGCCTAAGTTACCATCTTCACTCCTGGAAAGTTTTGCACTTGCGGTATCTAAACCAAACAATTTCTACTTCTATTCTCTATTTCAACAACTTAATTCAGTATACGGTATTTTAAGGTCAAGTGATAATAAGAGTTATACAATAACTTATCAGAGTAAAGATCGAGCTTTGATTCTGCTATACTTTAGTCTGCAAATACAAATGCTTCAAGCAAACACATTAAATCGCTCGACTCATTGAGTTTTCTTGAAAAGCTTGAGTTGAGCCAAGAAATGAAACACTCACTCGCTCGGAAAACCACTTGAGTACTCGCACACCCCAAATGTTTATCCTAACTAAAATAGCCTAGCTCCAATCAAATATTTAAAGAACAACCTTTTGGCCGAAAATGTGTACCGGTACATCAGCTTTATGAATTTTATCTTGGTCAACATGTAAAAGCTAGCCTATTTTTGAAAAAGTAACTTATCGAACAAAAAACCTACTCTTCAATTTCCAGCTCAAACTCATCAAGTCTGTCATCAGCTTGTCCACTTTCAATGTCTTCTATTTCTTTCAAGAGACGCAAATAGGCCTTTCTGTCTTCTTCGATCAGTCTGTTCACTTCTTCTTGCCGTTCTGTGAAAAGACATTATTTTTTTTCAATTAATAGGAACTAAATTTAAATACAGGGTGTATATAACGTCTTGCACAGGCTTAATATTTTCTTAACGACAACAGATAAATCAATAAGATTTGGTACATCAACACCACACCTAAAAATGGACTTTTTTAAGGAGCTATCAATTTTCTGTTATATCATGGGGATGACCCGCAAGGAGTCAGAATGAAATCTTAAATGAACTCAAACAGACAACCAAGTCAAAAATGACAGTGGTTCAAAGATTCATTGAATTTGCTATGCTTATATACGTGACCTCCTCAGGGGGGCAGCCACTAGGAATCTGAAGAAAATCTTAAACGTAACGTAAGCATAGGCCTATTTCGATATGCACATCAATTTAAAGGTATTTGTTATTAGTAGCCTAGATTACAATGCCATGAATTTGCGCTCAAAAGAGAAGAAGAACATCTGAGTAAAAAATGGCAGCCATTCAAAGATTCAAAATGACAGAAACAAGAACTCTTTGAATGGTTGTTATTTTTGACTCGGTTGTCCGTTTGAGTTCAAATTTGTGGCATTGTATTTTGCTATTTTTTGTATTTTTCATTCGATGTACAAATCAACCTATGCTCCTATTTAAGATTTCATTCTGACTCCTTGCTGGACGTCCCCATGATATGACAGAAAACTTTGTGTTGTGTTGTTGATGTAAACTAAATCTTATTGATTTATCTTTTGTCGTTTAGAAAATATTAAGCCTGTGTGGGACTTTACACCCTGTATACTCTCCTTTACATTAAGATAACAACTATTTCAAACTAAAAGATGGAAAGTAGAATACCTATTTCTATGTATCGTAAAACATCTAGGCCTTACCGTATAACAGGTATACAGGCCATGGATATACAGTATGACTCAATGCTAACCTGTTAGATTTGATCCAGGCAATTATTAATAAGTTTTTAAGTTGCTGATAGAGAATATTATCATGTAGGCTACCAAATAAATATCAAATATAACTGAAGACATTCTTCAATCGTACCTAATCAGTAATCAGGTATTATCAGTTTAAGTAAAAATAAAGCCAGACCTAACGATTTATGTTTATGTTTTTTTTTTTGTCTTCCGTCCAAATGTAGGAAAATAATTTTGCTTTTACAAGTAATTTTGTAGTTGGAACATTTTAAGAATTAGGCCTAGTGTGAAGGTGGAGTTCTCGTTGCTACTAGCCCAGATCAAATTTGCAGGCACGTTTAACCATCTTAGTAAAAAATGTTGTTTTTTTTTTTATTAATTTGTTATTATTGCATCATTCAATTTACCAGTATCAATCTGTCATCATTGCCTTATCAATTATTAATTTGTTGCCTTAATACAGTAGAGTCCCGCAAACTCACCGTAATGTGGACTGGAAGGGTGACGGGTTTGTGAAATGCCGGGTTATCAGGAACTAGGGTTAAAAATAAGAACAATACAATTTTTAAGCTTTTTAACTGCCTTTTTTATTTATGTTTATAGTACAAGTCAGTATTAAGTCATCAGATATAGTACAAGAAATCCTTGGTATGAGTTGCGAATGATTTGGCTTGAGTCCATTTTTAACTCGGATCCAAAAAATCACTAATTTTCTGAGCCAAGTGATGGCTGAGTTATCCAGACTGCCGGGTTATCGAGAGCCGAGATTGCGGGACTCTACTGTAACATTATTCTAACTTACTTGTGTTTGTTGTTATTTAGGGTGGGGCAATGAGAACGCCACAATTTGTTTTAGCTGTCACATGTTAATTGTTGCAACAACGAATGATCAGCTGTGCTTAAAACATCAAATAAACTATGCCATTTTAGTAAATATTATGCCCGAGGCTATTAACACTGAGATTTTGATGTGCAAACCTATTTTTAAAATAGTGGTTCTTGTGCAAAAACCCAGAGATTGTTTGGGCCACATTCCATCCTTGGTCAACATGGCACTGTTCCAGATTGGAAAACAATGGTGAACTGGGTAAAATTATTTAGGATAAACGCTTAAACCTTAAAAATAATCGGTGGGTGCCGCAAAACTCTTTGTACACCAGCAAATTTTGAAAGAGTGTGAGTCGCAGTAACTCAAAGTCCAAAGAGATTTGCCAGGAAGCTGTTATTGTTGAAAGCTTTACGTTGGCTCCTATTTTTGGAAAGGGGGGGGGGGGTTTCTAATAAGCTACTTGAAGTTCGAAGTTTTTCAATGTCACCCCACAGATTTGCTTGAACCGAAGCTAAGAATTGTCCAAAATCTAAAGTGATTCCTGAAGAAATGCTGGGTATTTGATGGAGTTTTCAAGTGCCTAATGTTAAGTAGGACAAGGACGTCACTTGCTTGCAGGATTTCGCTCTCAAGAAATGGAAAAATGACTTTGTTAAGTTAAAATGGCAAAAGATAAGCTGTGTTTTGATGTGCTATTTATATCCATAGGGTGAATATTATTGAGTTTGTACTGCTTATAAATTGGGGCGCTTTCATTGCCCCACCCTGTATGTACCAGTATGCATTCGGTTACCAAATAATATATTTTGCTACTCCAATATTAAAATGTTGCATTGCCTTGAATGAATAAACAAATAAAGAAACCCAACTTGCCACAAAACATATTCCAGTTCAAACCTATAAAGTCAACATGCACGACAATCGCACCTTGTAGAAGTTTCCTGACGATGCTCTCGCTTGGTGTGTCGATCGTCTCCACGCCCTTCTCACTTCTCTTCTTGCGCTTGGTCGTGCCCACATTGTTGAGGAGAGCCTCGTACTGGAGAGCACACTGCTTCTGAGAGTACCACTCGGAAGGCCGATCCGGCTCACCAAACACCCGCAACACTCTGCTCACCGACATCCTACGGTACCACACCCATACATTACCATTACTTTGACAAACTTTCAAATGTACTATCATAATTAGCAGGGAACTATATTACATCAACACACTAGGTTGCAAACCTATATTCCTCGTGACCCCAACTGTTTGAATACCGTACTTGTTGAATGTTGAAAAAGCAGGTTCATAAGTAAAATTTAAAAAAACTTCTCTGCTAATAACATCACAGAAATATACTTCTTTAGAGCTAAATCTTTGTAAAAATATGTAGGTAGGTAATCCAGTAAGTAGGCCTAAAAATAGATAAGCTCAAGGAAAATTAAATAAGTTAAAATCCAACAAGCAAAGGCAATACCTGGTTAATTAGGAATGTTAGGCGTGATCAAAACCAGAGATTGTGATAGTCCTTTATTTATCTGTATACCTATTTAAAATCCTGTTTAAATCTAGTTTTCATTAAAGATCCTCTTTTTTTGCATAATCCGTTTTTTTATAACAGACTTTTTCTTATTGGTGGCACCAGGATGCAAACTCATGATGTCGCTATCTCTGATATTTGTAGTCTATCACTCTAAATGTACTACCAACAAATTACCATAAATACTTAGAATTGACCGTCTTATTTTAATTAATCAGACCTAGGCCTAAAGGATGTGTGGCTGCTAGATTTTTGTAACTATCAACTAAACTTAGGTTATGGTTACCCAACTTACTTTTGGATCAATCCGTAGGCCTAGTATTATTTAAATGCAATGTGCTGCTAACATTTGAGTGCATTTCTGGGTCAGTAGACTTACAGTAGGCCTAAGTTAAAAGGAAAAAGCAAAAGAGGGAATTATTGATACATACCAATTCTGGTCTCCACTCCGTAACACAGCAGAAGCTAAACAGAGCTTTTCTTTCGTAGACCATGGCTCTAGAATCACAGTGCCTCTTTTCATCTTAACTGAAAAACAAAATAAATTAAATTATTGTTGGGGTAAACTTTGGTTACCATTACCAGACCGTATTTGCTAGCAGTGTTACACGCTGTTTCACAGTCTCATCGCATATGACCTGGTTGTGTGGGGCCATACACCAGTGACGCAGGCAATAATACTACAGAAGGTGTTGAGGACAATATAACATATCATGTAACATCATATAACGTATGTATTTGCTGTAAAATGGTGTAACCATTGAGAGGAAATAAATAAATAAATAACATTTTCTGACCACAAGGCACACTGTCGTCCCATCTTCCTGGAGTCAGGCGTGTTGACAGTTTACAGCCAGTATGTCCTCAACATCTTGACCCTACTGAAAATAAATATCTAGGCTAAGTTTACCATTTTGTAGTTATAGACAATTTACATAGCCACCATACCCGCCGCGCCTGTGACATTGATTTACCGAGATGTCGCCTCGCCTGCTCACTGAAGAGTTATCCTCGGTCTGCGATAAAGCTAGTTAATTCCTTGCGGGTTCATGTGCGCCCCCTAGACCTGAATGACTTTAAGACAGCCCTGTGTGACAGGCTGGTTAACACGTTGACTGCGGCTACTGCTATAGCAGTGCGGCACTGGCATTGCTCGGGGCCTACTGTTTTCTCAGTAGGGTTGCCACCTTAGGTCGGAAAAAAATCGGGACATTGTCCTCCTCCCTCCCGGATTAACATAGGCTTAAATACGGACATAAGGAAACAAAATCGGGAATGTCCCGGCAGAATCCGGACGGGTGGCAACCCTGGTCTGAGCCCAGCACTCAGCCGGCGACAATGTGATTGTTGCCAGGCTGTACCTTAGAATAGCCTACGAGCTTTATTTTGGTGTAGGTTGGTACTAAACATTCCCGTAAAATCCAATCTGGCAATGCTTTTGTCCCGTTTTTGGGCATATTCTCTATTCGAGCCATTAGGCCTATTACAAAGACTCTGGTTGTTCATCCAGGCAGTTCTGCTACCTTTGGGTGTTTCAGTGAACTACGTCCACTTTCGGGGTAACACAGAATGTACAATAACCATTGCTCTTTTGTGATTCGTCTAACTGGGATATTTTTATGCCAATAGCGACTGCTGATTCAGTAGCGCGCCAAGGCTCCGCCCGGGACTCGCCTCAGTTTAGGAGCGCCTGTGTAAAGGTTTTTAGCAATCAACATGTTAACCCTCCGAGTGTTATGTGTCAAAAAATCTACACATAACACACTTTGTGTAGGTAGTGTTTTGTGTCGATTTTTCGACTCACAAACACTGTTTACGGCGAAGGCTCTATGACTGACAAAATCGGATGGAACTGGATCGAGTTAGGTATCGTTTTATTTGGCAGATTCTAAGCTTTCTCCCGAGGTCTGTCTCTAAGCGCTTTTTTTTCTCGAGCCGATCATAATTGTAGCAGACAGCTGACGTGCGTATTTGTAAACAGCTTGGTTAACCTCGCACAGATGACTGATGTGTTTTATTACATTTATCATTGTTTTAGTGTTAAAAATCAAAAGTAGTGATAGGCCTATACGTGGTGCATTATAAGAAGATTTAAGTGATTTTGAAGGGCTGGTTGATGATCCTGAAGAAGTAACTTAAGTTAGGTAGTGATATTGATGTAAATTATCAGCCAGATTCCTAGCTATGGTTAGGCTATGCATTCTTAGCTAAACGCTATGTACTGAAATCTGTTTTTTGCCCATAACTTATTTATTTGCAAATCTACTTCCTTATATTGTTATCCTACCGTATTTGTAATCCTTATAAAATTATTTAGGACAAAGTGGCTATTTTCAAATATTTATAGGCCTAAGTTATAATTTATACAATTTCATTGAGCGCGATCTTATTTTTTTTTCTTTTAACTGTCCAAAATATTTTTTTTTTACCTAAAATTTTTTTTTGAAACAAATCTTCTTTAACTTAAGTTATGTTTTATGTATACTTAATATTGAAGCCCGTGATTTTCCAAACAAAATGGTATATAGAACAGTATAATTAACATTGTTTTTAAGCTTCTCAGATCCGTTTTAATAAAACCTTGCAAATGCGCAAAAAATAGGCAAACATTAAGGCCAAAACTAGGGACACTCGGAGGGTTAATAGGCATCTTTGCAGCCTCGAGAAATAGGCAAAGGCCTACCATTAGGCCTATAGTTACCATTCTGTTTTCCACACATAGCTTAACTAAGTTAATGTTTAATCATGTCCAATATAGCCTAGGCTAGGCAACACACATATAGGACAACAACATAATATAGGCCATACACCTACCGAGCTTTAAGCTACATCAAGTTAGTTTTATACTCTTGAGATGGAGAAAAAACATGGAAAATAGGCATATTTAATTCAACCAAATAGTCCCCATTCTCCACGATCAAAGAGTTGAGCTTCAGGCCTTTTATAACCTAGAAATAATCAAATGGTTAGCCTAAGCGTACAACAATAGACCGGTGACACTAAAATACCTGGGCCTAACTTACAACAGTAGTTCTTTGAAAAAAAAATAATTTACTCACCAATTGCTTATCGTTAAAAACTAGGCCTAGATGTTATGATGAATAATATAACCAAAAACTAAAGTATTTATTTACTTCACAGACGATTAATCACATAAATATTTATTATTTATTAAGGAAAAGCAAGAAGAGAAGAGAGGGGTAAACAAACACGCAGCTGCAGCTCTTTTTCTTTATTTACTAATCGAACTTCTTCTTCCCTAGTTCCCTGGTTGATGCCAGTTGATGCTTGGCCTAGGTCGACGCACTTTTTACCATGAAGCTGTTTGATTTTGTTGTTTTCACGTTGTTGAGAAGGTCCTATAGCTTCGAATATATTATAGCTCCGAAAGGAGATTTAATCAATCCAATGTGTGAACTTCTTAAATTAATAGTTGTTCCTAATAATTTCAATTCCTATAGCACCATGGTGGAAGTAAAATACATAGGTGTGTTATTCCCGTCAGGTGTGCTAACGTACGGTAACTAAGATTGCAAACACCATTTTACCATTTTAGAAAAATTATAAAAACAATAACAATCAAATCAAAACAAAAATATACTTATATGGCAATACATAGCCGATTTCCTGTATGCAATATAATCTGGGTGACGTCAGCAAATGACGGGAATAATAACACATATGTATTTTCCTTCCACCATGCTCTAGCCCCAAATACTAAATTGAAATGTTGCATTTGGACTGATAAAGTATAACATCAGCTACCGAAGATACTTGGTGAAGTATTTAGTATTTTAAAAGCTGCACAGCTGTATTTTGAATCTCATAACATCTATTTAGATCCGAAAGAAACAAAATAATCCGGGTCCAAATGAATGAGTGATATGAGCTCATTGTTACAGTTAATGATGTGGGGCTATATATATCAAAAGGCAGGACCTCAGATCTGGATACCAGATCTGTATTGAGTCCAGGGGCCCTATTTTTGAAATGGTTGACAGTTGAGTCAATCGTCAGCACTCAACTCAACCAACAACATGATTTGGTTATTTTTCAAACCCAACAGTTGGGAAGCGAGTTGGGAATCACTAGTTGAGAGACTCGTGGTGGAAATGTAGAGCATACGACCGTCAAAAATTCAGATGACGTCATTTTGAACCAATCACAATGCAGAGTTCTTGCGGACTTCGATTTACCTCTTCTTACTCTAAAATCTGGCAGTTAATCTCAATCTGCCAAATTTCTAGACACTGAGGTAAACTGTCAACTCCGTTCTTGAGAGATTGAGGTTATGTCTTGCTTAATCTTAGTGATTGCAAAGTACCTTAACTTAAGTAATAAACTAAAGTAAACTAAATAAAGTAATAAACTTAAGTATAAAAAATAAAATTTACTATGGATGTTTGTTTTAGGGTGTAGCTAATTATAAGTTTAGGCATAGGCTGCACTTTACTTTAGGTCCTACACTCATCCTAAATACATTATTATTTGCTTTCTTCGTCTCTATTTCGGAACATATCACCTTATTTTAGTTTCCTTCATCGGTTTGTTTTATGTTATTTTTAATTGTTTTTTATTTAGGTTAAAGCGGCTATTTGCCATTGCACTGGAAGCATATCGTAACTTAAATTAATTTGATCACTTTATTAGGTGAATGGTATTGAAACAAACTATGATATTGTTTCTCTATACCACAATCTTTAATACCTTAAATCATAGGTCTAATAACAATAATTATCTTATAATAAGTTCAATTAGTATGCCTAGTCTATTTCAAACATTCCAACAAGAATAAAACCCTTGATTAAATAGTCTAGTATTGACACAGTAAATAAAATTAAAATGCGATTATTCTACAGAAAACAATCGCATAATTGGGTGCTAATACATTGACAACAAATACATAACCTCTAAAATCGCAATTAGTAAATTAAAGCAATAACAAAACAATATGGCGTCGTCTCAAAAAGAGTAATTTTTTGCCGAAAGAGAGGAAGAAGAAAGTGCAGTCAACCTCCACTCAACAGCTCGATAGGTGTTGAGTAGTTTTGGTTGTATAAGTCCACCGTCAACCGTTTCAAAAATACGAAACGATTGGAAATAGAATGACTCGACACTCAACTCAACAGTCAACCATTTCAAAAATAGGGCCCCAGATCTGGCATCCCAGATTGGAAAACTTGTCAAACAAGTTTTGACTAAGTGTACTTAATTGTAAACTGGAGTAATATTGTGTAAAAATTGTTTCAAACTTGTATCAAAACAATTTTAATACAGTTTTGTGACTGGTTTTTAAATTGTTTAAACTTGTATCAAACATTTTTTAAACTTGTATACAAATATTGTTTTAGTACAACATTTAACCAACCGTATTAATACAATTAAACTTATGTAGTAGTCTCTCAATCATTACTTGAAACGGTTTTCAGTTTTAGTTCAGCCTCAGTGATTTGTGCCCTGTACTTTTGGTATTTTTTGCAACAAAACGATTCTGATTTTTGAATTTTTTACCAATCAAGTTCACTGAAATGTGAATGGTTTTAAGCCATAATCCAAATATACGTTACTTACTGTGAATTTTTCGTTTCCTTTTTTGCATAAAACCATAGTTTAACTGGTACTGTGTTTGCGACCACCGTTTTGACAAAAATTTTGCCTATTTCAGTACTCTTTACGTGTGAGAATTTTCTTGGATCAACACTTGATGTCGGTACTGACTTATACAAAAGGACGTTTCAAATCCTAATTCCGTTTAAGTATTTTTAGGTTAAGTTAAACTAATCAATGTTTACGCCTAATGGCCGTATCGGGTTTTCACCTATAATTCCACTTTATTTATGGGGATGTATTTTCAGTATTTTAGCGACAGAATAGTAATTGAAATAAAAACATCAATAATCATTCCAAGTTCTAATACTAAGCCTTACAAACGAAAACTTAGCTTTAGAAAGCCTGATGAATATTCACATTGTGTGACTGTCAAAGCTTATCCTGTCTTCTGATACACTGTGGTGGATTTAACTCAATACCTATTATTGTGAAAACCCATCAAGCACATATCAATTTCGCTGAGTAAAAAACATTCATATCCCTGTATATTTTCGTGTTTCCAAGATTCTTCATTTTCCACTACCCATTACCATTAGTTTTGGTTTTAGTTACCCTTTTGATAATTTAAAAATGATTTTAATTAAATGACAAAGCTTAAGTTAAGATTAGGTTTGCTTTGTAAAGTTTCCCGTTATAATTACTGCAATTCTCTATGGGGAATGAATTGATGATGGCACGAAGATAAAGAGGGCATATTAATATATATGAATGCAGAACGAGGTAATCTTGGAGTGCTTTTTGCTAAAGCTACGTAGGGGTGTAGGAGGGGTCGTATGAAATGGAGGGGGGATTTGCGCTCCTGGCCTTGGGGGATGGCTACAACTGATAAGGATATTTTGATATATAAACTTTTTTTTTTATTTGGACTCTTTTTAGGACTTTACACACGTAAAGACATGGAATAATTTGAAAAGTTAAACTAATTTTATTGCTTGGTTTAAAAAAAGATTTTTTTCCATTTTATATCACATTTGTCTAGCTTATTTGTAACTACAAATCCTATATTGCATCAATCTAAATCTTCCGTTTGAGAGTTCATGTCGATTTTATGACCTCTAAACAATGTTCTACTTTTAAATTTACTCAGTGCTGCGGATCATACACACACCGTCGCTCCTTGAAAACACGTAAATGATTTGTTTCACACCATTAGGCCCAACAGTAGACATTTGTGTATTCTTTTCCACATGCTACGGCAAACAATTTCTGCAGCCAAGATAACGGGTAGTAGCTGGTGACGAAGTAACTTTCGAGAGCTTTTAGGCTAATTTAACGACAGCAGTATATAGTGTGGACGGGGGCGTGATGGGCCTATCTGGTTTGATAACTCCTGAGAGAGGTTTAGTCTGCGATGCGACGGTTACTGTCGCATAATATACATTGTGTGTTTTATCCATCCATCTAACTGCACGTAATTGATTAACATTTATCTTGGCAAGACCATAGGCTAGATAAATTAACTAGCAACCTTCGCTCCTACCTATTTACGATGATTTTTCCGTTTGAAATTTTCTCGGTATTAATTTTATATTTCTAAATGTTTGTGTTGAATCGGCGTTTGATCTTATTTTCTACTAGTATGTTTGCAGTATTTATGTTTTAATACGCCGTTCTTATTCTACCGCATTTAAAGATGTGGTTAGCAACGTAATGTAAGGCTATTATACAAAAACACATAGATTCATGACGATAAATTTTCTTGTTTAGAAAAACTATTCTTTTATGAAAACACTGCATGCGATGGACGGTCGGTGATTGTACCCAAGTGAAGGGTAGTACATTCTTTTTTTCGAAGTGAAATGAGTGATATAATACTCATTTTATAGCGTTTATATTTTTGACTTTATAAACTACTAGCAACCGTCCTATGTACGATTTCACAGGGTTTTCGTAACTTTATTTTGGTACCAGCCAAACCAATCCTAAAACAACCCTAATCCTAATCATTATTTATAGATAATTATAACATTTCAACCTGTATCTATAGTGATAGTTGTATAACGAACAAAGCCCAATATACTAACGACATAGTACTTTGCCAGGTATAAAATAAGCATAAAATATGGAAAGTCCTTAAGATGTTTTGACGATCTAAATATTGATTCAGTTTTTAGTAATAGGTAATAGACCCACAGTAAAAGGTGAAACGTTAGTTTTCAAGATCCTAACGGAGTTTGACGTTACTTTATTCTTGTAGAACACATTCGTTCCAGGGTCTGCACCAAAGGGATTTTAAACTCATCCCTCGTGAGTTAGATATACACCCTTGAGTATCTGTATTCTAACTTGGCGGCACTTCCCTACCCCACACCCTTATCAGCTTATCACCCGCCCCTGAGCATTCCCCTCCTCTACCCTCCCACCATTAACAGCTTTGACCCTGTGTTGACCTGATGACTGAAACTTTGAACTTGAACGTAAAACTGTATTTTAGGAATAGTTCTCCCTAGACAATACACGCATCGTCATCTTTTTGAGGAAACTTCGGAAGTAATTATATTAAATTGGTATAATTTAAATTTACAAAATTATAGCGATTTCGTTACTTTGGTATTA